TTCTTGGAAGAGAATTTTGTTTATGATGAGGCTTCATTTGGAAATAAATGTCTACGCTGTCTGACATGCTGGTGACCCTCTCCTCCCTCATACACCCAGTGTTTGTGGCAGCAGTGTTTTTCCACCGGAGCACATGGGATAAGTGAGTGACAGATGGGTGAGGTAATTTGGGTGCTCTGTGGACCTTGCCAAGTGTGACTGAGTGATGTGCTGCAAATAACTGGATGTGCCTTCTTAGCAGTGGCACAGAATGAGCCAAGCTACAAAATAAGAGATGCTAGCATGATGGCAGCAGACCCTCACCATCAGCATTTGAATAGAATCACCTACACCACGAGGTATATTTAGCCTGAAAGAAATAAATCCCACACCTTCACCTACGTCATCATATATTAAAACAGCATTTGAAACTTGAGGCAATGTTTTTTTAAGTGGGGCAGTCCAGTGAGAAAAGAACCATCTGAGAATTCAAACAGTACACAAAAAAAAGGCAACATTACTTCATAATCAGTAGGAAAAACAGAGCAAACTTGATTCCAGGTCAAGACGAGGGGTTTAACTTTATCTGGGTCAAGTACGTCTGAGTATTAGTGATCTGACTTGTTGCAAACTCAAACCTGAATTCTTTCATTGTACTGGCAAAATCGTATTATTCATATACTTCGCCAAGCCTCTTAAAAGCCACACTGACCAGCTAGTACAGTAAGCTGCTCCAAATGTGTTTACTACTAGCAGCTCTGTTGCAACACTGAGGAGTGTTGTCAGTGCCCCCCTTTATGCTTGGACCACAGGTGGAATGGAAAGTTTTAACTGTGGGGAGATGTGGACTATAATAAGGTCTATGTGACGTAGCAAACTTACAGTGAAGGTACTCAGCCAGGTCCCCTCCATTGCAGTACTGAAAAGACAGAGAAGAAACGTCTTTATAGAAGCTTTGCCCCTGTCCCTTTAATAGTTAATGTGATTTACACCATCCATCACCAGATCTAATGCAGCTCACCTCCATGACAAGATACACACATCCTCCCATTTCCTGTTGACAACATAAAAAAGAAATGCTCAGCGTAGCAGTAACTGACATACACTCAAGGATAAAAAACTTTAAATGACTTATAATTAATGACAATAATAGATACATGACTTATTTCCAATGATAAATCAATGTCTTCGCAGCAGTGCCCCAACATTACACAGTGAGGTACATCAGGTCATTGCTTAAACTGAGTAAACTCTGAGTTGGCCTGTCACCAGCAGAGCTTCTAGAAATTCTGGGGGCCCCCTCCCTCCCTGACTGCAGCTAACTGAGGTGACTGAAATGTTACCCCAACAGGATCCTTGTCCGACTCTTGGGCCTGTGAGCCCCCACAGGAGCCCTCCCTATTTTGGCACCTTGCATGTAACCATTGGAAATATTGACAGAGCAGTGAGACAGATGGGTTGGGGGTGTGAAAAGTTTAGGGTGTCAGCCCCACCTGACGTGTAAGGAAAGTGGGGGAGCAAGTCGAATCCTATTTGCCTTTGGCATAGAGTCTGACCGATATATAGACTAGCAGATAGTATGGCCTGATATGAGCCTTTCACAGATATATCAATATAGGTTTATGATGTGAATTTGTGTTTACATTTTATACAAAAATTATTATTTTCTTAATTTAAGTTTTATATATTTGTTTTCTTTTCATTAGTTATTTATTGTTAAGTTTATGTTTCAATATAACCTGTATAATGTCTGTAAAAAAGCTGCAATTACACAACTTTTTAGGAATCATTGCAAATTTTTTAAATATTGGCCGCTGCATCGGTATGGGGATTTTTTTTCCTTCCGAACATTAGTATCGGCATCGTCACCAAATTGAAGCTAGTAAGAGTGTCGGAGTGAAACCTATTGAACGTTTACCACTATAGCACTATTACCATGGTAACAGATAACAGAAAGCACAGGTTGTGTAGATACCACATGAATAAGCACCATCTCTGATTGTATTTATAATCCTTGTTGTGTTGTTAGTGTCTGCTGGGAGACCGGCCTCTGTTCTAAAAGCCATTGTTTAACCGGCTACACCCTGCCATCTGTCAGAAAAGGTAATCCCACGTCTGACTGTCTGGCAGGTGACAGTAAGGTGAGAGGAAAACCAACTCACCACACAAATGGTTAACGACCTGAGTGACGTGTGACTTGTTTTAAAGTTTATGATCAAAGGGGATAAGAGTAAAACACATTTCAGAGATTAATCATTATAATTATTTTAAATCTAGGATAAACCAATACACTAAGAATGGAGACAACTTCAATTTAACACTACAGCTGCGGTTGAAGCCAACAGCCATATCTGCACAGCATGATGAAACCTATATAATGTGTGTATTCCTACGTAGTTACAGCAGACATGTCTGATCTGTGTGTGTGTTGAGAGGAGAGATTCTCACCTGATAGTCAAGCAGACTGACGATATTTTCATGTTTGAGCTCCTGGATGAGGTGGGAAAATAACATTTGAGCAAAAAGTGAGCACAGAGAGCCTGACACAGGATGTATGGAAGCATCAGAAAGAGTTATTACCTTTAATATCTTGATTTCTTTATCAAGAAGAGACTTTGATTTGGCCAAGTTCTTCTTGTTGATACACTTCACAGCCACCTCCCAGTCCCGTCTCTGAAATAAAGTTGTTTCATTCACAACCAGATGCATCAATAACACACAGATCCTGGGAGCTGGGATACGAAAGTTACCTCTTTGTGTCTTCCCTTGAACACAACAGCGAAGGCACCGTGGCCAATCAGGTCTTTCCTGCTGAACTCAAAGTTGCCAACAGACTCCATCATGAACAATGACACAAACACACACACACACAGACACACACACACACACAACAAGATAAACAGACGCGTTCACGAGCAGCTTCAGGAGCTTGAGTTTCCAACGGGGACAGACGCACAGTCCCACCACGCGTCTCTCGTGCCGGTAAATCCCATTCCTGTGATTAAAAGACTCCCTGTCCGCACGTGAGCAGGTCCGCAAGCGATGACAACATTAGGAAGTTTTCCGTCAACAGAAAAAGTTCAAACAAGCTGCGCACAAATACAAAGTGAATGTAAAGAAAAATATGATCGAGCCGCTGCGTTTGTTTGAGCGTTTAAGAAAAGTGTCCGACGCTTCACCGGAGCTGACACAGGTTCAAACAGCTGCTAGACGTTGCCGATGCTCGGAGGCTGAGCTCAGACTGAATTGTCCTCGTCATGTGTCTCTGTCTCTGTCTCCTTCACCTTTCTACCATCTGCTCGAGCTCTCATCTCCACACGCGCATGCGCAAACTGCCAGGCAGCTGTTGGACCGTGGTGCCTTCAGGGACACCTCGTTCAGTCACCGTTCAGTGTTTGGTTTTCAGTCATTTTCCTCTTGCTGTGATTGTGAATGACAATGTAATTACACTGAAAACTATATAAAGAGAGAACTATTTAGAGGTAACGAGGCCGTTGTTTTTATTTGGGAGTGCATGACTAACAATTCCTTTTTAACCTCTTGTGTGTCAGGCCCCTATAGTATTTTAAAGAGTTCAAAAATAAGATAAGAAAAGATAAGATTCAACTTTATTGATCCCACACAGGTCAAATTCACTTGTATGTACAAATACATTCAATTTAAACCAAGTTCACAAATCTAAATAATAATAATAATGATTGTATAATGACTCCATATCTGTCACTTTAAAATGATCTTTAAATTAACTTTTTTATATGCATTTGCTTTGTATTAAAAATAAACCATAAATAATTATAATATTCACTCAGTGTAATTCTAACATCATAGACTAAATATAAAGATGAAGTGAAGCCAAAGCCTCTTTATCGCCACCTGGTGACTGGCTGCAATATAGGTCGATTCCACCGCCTCCAACAGATGAGAGATAAACCAACCTAAAAAATCAAAGTACACGTCAAATACAATTTTCTCAATGATGGTTTTCTGTCAGTTTAGGTAGTTCTCATCACAATGATGTACAGATGTACATATTTTGGGTTTTACATTGACAGCTAAGACTGACTCATATCTGAGGTACTCTCGACAAAGATATAACTGCAACACGGTTATTTTCCACAAATGAAAGTCAAAGATCTGAGATTTCTTTCTCTCAAATTTTGCTCACAAATATGTTAAAATGTGTATTATTGAGCACCTCACCTTTGCTAAAATAATCCATCCACCTGGCAGGTGAGGGATATCAATATGCTGATTAAAGACCTTGATTATTGCACAGATGGGCCTTGAACTGGTCACAATAAAAGGCCACTCGAAAATGTGCAGTTCTTTAATGCAACACAAAGCCACTGATGCCACAAGTTTTGAGGGAGCAGGCAATTGGCATGCTAACTGTAGGAATGTCCACCAGAGCTGTTGCCCGTGAACTTAATGTTCATTTCACTTCCATAAGCCACCTCTGATGGCTCCAACCAGCCTCACAACATGTAACCACTCCAGCCCAGGACCGCCACATCCTGCGTCTTCACCTGAGAGATTATCTGAGATCAGCCACCTAGACAGCTGATTAGGCAAATATTCACCTTCAATGGCGTATTGCACTTTGGAGAAGTATTGTCTTTACAGATAAATCCTTGTTTAGACTAAATCAGGCAGATGGCAGATAGCAGGTATGGTGTCCAGTGGGCAAGCGGTTTGCTGATGTCAATGACGTCATTAGAATGGCCTATGGTGGAGGTGGGGTTATGGTATGGGCGGACGCTGATTATTTTAGCAAAGGTGAGGTGCTCACTAACACAGATTTTAAAAAGTTCCAAGACAAAATTTAAGAGAAATAAAGCTTTGTTTGCGTAGAAGAAATCTTCATCTTTTATCTTTTATTTCAATTCATGAAAAATGGAAGCAAAAACAAAAATGACCGTCTGGTGAGTGGACAACCCTGTGTGGTTATGATGGTAAATCTTTCAATGAAAACAACACAGATTTCTTGTCATAATGATTTTTTTTTAATAAAGATAACTGGAAGCATAAATCATAGTACCATAAAACAACAATCACTGGCGGCCATATACAAGCTTAGAAATACTAGAAATATTTAACTTTAAATCTGACATGAAAAGAGAGCACAGAGGGACTTACAGTAAATCCTGTCTTAGGAATCTAAATGTTGGTACAGTGTAATATCAACAGGACATTTAAAAACATGCCTTCTCCCTCTATTCTCACAGTATGTTAAGGAAAAAGCAACAACCTATTCAAGTCCCTCTGTTGTAGTCAAAAAATTCATATTTTATTGTACAAAAAATATATGAAAATGTATGAGAAATGAGCAAAAGAAATAGCATAAGTTCACAGAATTGTCCAAAACACAACCACTACTCCTCAAAAAGCATAACATACCACAGCTTACTAGGATGTGAGGCACTGCAAACACAAATATAGCGTTCAGGAGAGAAAACACTCAAATCAACACAGAATTTAACAAGAGAACACAATGATTGTTGAGCTGTGACACTTTACAGGAAACATGATAAAGAACGCAGAATCACAAATAAATAAATACATTATTTATATCAGAATTACAAAGGGTCTCATCACTCATCAGTTATTATGCTGTTGTTGTGTGGTGCTGTCATTAAAGCTGTATGAATCAAGTGAATCTCAAAGAAATTGATCCAGGTATAGCAGTTTTTCTATTTAAAGTTTTTCATTGAGGAATACTGTTATAAGGTCATTGTTTTTAATGAATACATCTAACACTATAATTAAGGAAAATATATGTCTTGCTTTTTTCTGCATGGTTTTTCATTTGTACCAACCACACCTGAAAATACTGTTGTACTTAATATCATCTCCAGTGATTTTTCTGTGTGAGACAAATTGCATGTTCAAACATATCAATGTGATTTTAGGGAAAAGTTTGAGATGTTAGCAAATGTTCTCTCCTGCTGAGAGTTAGATTTTAAGATCTCTGCTACTGTCGTGTCTGTATTCTGAAGCTACATCAATAGATTATCTTAGCACAAATCATGGAAACAGAGGGAAACACGTTGCTAAATAAAAATAGTGAAGCAAACATTCTTTGTGTGTTTACTTTAATTTTTCTAAGGGAATCAGTTTCCTAAAGTTGTGAACACAACTATTAACTAAGTCAGAGTAACTCGCTTTACTTAAACTGCTAAAGTAAGATAAATCAACAATTAAATATAAAGTAAATATAACATGAGACTAATAGTTCAATTTACTTGTTACTGTTTTTCAAGGCACGAGTATTTTTTTTATTAAGATCAACTTGTGAGATTTTACAGTGTAGTCTGGCAACATAATGTGTTGTTTTTACATGTTGTTTTTGGTGCAGGTGAAACAAAGCTGGTATGACACATTAACTGTTCGAGATGCTAAAAGGCAGATTTTGTTACAATCTCTGGACCGTGCCAGACCAGCTGTATTCACCTGCGTGAACTATAGCTGCTGGCAGTAACCTCATATTTACCATTCAGACATGTGGTATCGACCCTAACACTTGGCAAGAGAGCAAATACCTTTCTCAACTATTCCCTTAACTAAACCCTGGTCAACCATTAAATCGATGCAATATAGCCTACAGACGGACCAGACAACAGACGAACAGAGACCTCACAGGACGCCATTGTCTGAGCCTGAACTGCACTCACGGATCTTTAGACTTTCTGTCACTTTACTGACCTGCTCCTCAAAAATCCCTTTGCTTGATTGTGGGAAATCAGTGTGTTTTTATGGGACAATAATAAGGCACAATCCTCATCGTCTGTTTGTCTTTGAAATGAGAACAGAACCCCTCATTCACTAATGTCACCCTCTTTGAGGTGAACGAGTATCCAATTCATCGCATAACGTAACGGGAGAGTACTCTGGCCAGTGTTTGTCATCCTGTCACCAGTGAGCTTCAGGTCGCTCTCCTGCCACTGACATAATGTTTGCATTTCTACACGGCGGAGAGGTCGATACGATTGGCTGAGTTGGTGCTTTTGTCCCATGTGTTCATCTTGGTAGGTGTCACACCCTCCTTGTTTCCATTCATCTAGAAAAGAAGATGGGAAGGAGAGAGTTAGACACCGGCTGACAGGGAGAGACGAGCTTTCCTTTTTTAGTTAGCGTCTAACAGCAGAACTCACAATGTCAGAGTTGAAGGGCTTCACATTGATGTTTCGGATGGAGCTGCTGGTGAGGGACCACACCTTGGTTTTATGTTTGAAAGCAGCTCTGACCTAAAGACAGATGTAAATGGTGACAAATGCAATCCACTTTGAAACACAAGTCAGGTACAAATACACTTATTTCAGAGTCTCACTCTACGACAGACAATTAGATCACAACAGAGAACAGTGTCCCTTTAACAGAAATTAGATGTGGAATAACTTGAATAATATTCCTGATGCTCGTTGTAGTTCCTTGTATACGTTTCAAAGTGAATAAATACATTTAACAAAAAAAGAAAATACTTTTGCCAGATTAAGTTCTAGTGCTGAAGTGTTTTCTACCATAGGACATGACATAAAACAATGATATAACATATCCAACGTATTTACCTCAGAGTTGAGAAGACAGTGAAATAAGAAAACAAAGAATCCCTAAAAGACAAAGGGTAGAAAAGTGTCAATTTTAGGAGAGAATGTAAAAATAACAGCTCACAATTCAGAAAAGAAGTGATCCTGTAGTGAAACAACGTACTTGTAATGAGTTGAACACAGCGAAGATGTACAGGAACGGCAAAGAGTGTGTGTTAATGGCAAGAACGCCAAAGATCCAAGAGATGCCAAGTATAGGAAGCAGCACAGCCACAGCCTTCGCCGTCAGCCTGGAAACAAAACAAGAGACGTTTATATTATCAGCTTTTAATACAAGTACAATAAGCAATGATTTAAAAATGACTGGTCTGATCATGAAAATAAATAAACTCACTTGACTGCATTGGCATCTCCATGAACCTTATAATTCTCTCCGCTGATTCGAGATATGATCCTGGTCACAGAAATCAGGATGCCGATGTTCACCTGGAGATCAGAAGAGAGCTTATACTGTGAATATACGTAAAACGCAGCCACAGGAGATATAACTTTGTGTTTTTCCTTGAACAAAAGCCTTCAGTGAATTCAGATTAAAATGTCGACCAGATAAGGGGAGCAATGTGGAAATGACAAATGCTTATTTTTGCAAATTCCTCACCACGATGACAAACAGAGCCGGTGCCACAAAAGCCCAGATGGCTCCATTCTTCAGTGAAAGCCAACAGCTGAAAAAGCAAAGACAGGTGCAGGAGTTAAAGAAATCAAATTGTGTCTCCTTCCTGTAATGTAAATATGGAATGATGTGCATCATAGCTGTAAACCTGAAGGCATTTGAATTGAATGGGTGATGTCATTCTTACACAACACCAAGCTTTAATGGACTAAAATGAATTCCATATAATCCTGCGTATATATGTTTTTTATTTTTGTTAAGTCCAGGTCATACTTACTTGTCAACGTCGCCATAACTGTCCAGAGCTGATGTCATGGACACTACACATATGACCAATGGAGAGCCTGATAATTACACAAAGAAAACACATATGTTACAGATTTACTAATGTCACTTAATAACCTTGACTGGATTTGTCTGCCGAGGGGCCCCGGTCCCTGGTGCAAAATGTGATGCGGAGCAGCTTACTTACATCTGCTATACATTTTTAGTATATTGTAATGTATATTGTGAGTGCAGTGTGATTCACTGTATGTGATTCTGACCAGGGACCTTTGTTACTTGTCATTTCCGCTCTCCCTTCTTTTCCTCTCACCTATTCACTATACACTTTCAAATAAATCCTACAAATATTAGTGTGCCAAAAAAATCATGCTGAAATCAAAAAGAATCCAGCACTAGGTTTTGACACACAAACACAAATAAGGGCATGAAGATTAGATCATAATACAAGACACAGACATTGTGCTTTAGTGGCTGAGGTGTTCTTGTAAATAAATCTATAAAAATTATTAAATATTTAGTTTACATTCCTTGTTTCCCAGCAAAAGGCACAGGGTTTTTCCTCGAGGTCCCACAAACATGCTGAATGAATTTTCTTGTGTTCACAAGATTAGATCTTGTTCCCACATGATAGAGATCTTGTGGGAACAAGTAAATGTATGAGCAGCAAATAATTCCTGATGATGATGATCTGGTGTCTTTGTACAATAGCAGCAAGAATTCCATTATATGAAAATAAGACTAGATTTGCTGAAGCATATTTACTTTGTTAATTACCTCGTGTGCACAACATGAAAAATGATCGTCTTTCAGGACTTTAAGGGCTGTGTACATATCTCATTAGATATAATAATAATAATTTGTTTATATCCATGTTTGCTTGCTAGCCATCATCTTTTCTTCCTTGCTAATTTTTGTGTGTGCATGACCTCCATCAACAAGTTTAAAATCAGTGCAATGCCTTGCTCCCACGCTCCTGCTTGTGGACAGTACAAATACTGTAAATATCTTCAAAACTGCTCCGTGAAATCTAGTCAAGTCACGCACTAAATCTGAAGATTTTAGGCTCCACCCGACTTTGGACCTGAGTCTGGGCCTGTTTCCCAGATGAAGGGATGGTAATCGACATGATTCACCAACATTCAAATGTTCTTAGATCAACAGGAAATAAAAACGTGATCAGGAGAAGATTTTGACTCAGGCCACAGGAGAACAAGTTAGCACATGTTTAAGCCAAATAGTGATTTAGAAAATGGTCATATGATATCTAAAACTTCCAAAGCATCATCTTAACACTTGCCTCACCTAATTTGACAAATATGGAACACTGTGAAACTGTGATTCAGACTCAGCATAGCAGCACCTTTCTTTGTATATACTTACTTTTCCACATACTTAAACTCAGTAGTGGTTTTATTTATCTGCCGTGCTGCTAATTGCTAATTTCCATGAAAATAAATTATTCTACTGTGTCTTGATCTTAAAGTATTTACTTTTTATGTTTAACAGTTATACTTCAGACTGTCGGACAACTCTCCAACACATAATTTGAAGTTGGCCACACTAGATGAAAAATTACTCTGGCCAGAAGAAAGGAAGTAATAAAAAGGGATCATTTTCCCTCTAATGGCTTCAACATGTGAAAGAGACCATGCATTCCCCGGCAGCCAAAGACAGTACACGTATGTCCCAGGTTCTTTTCATCTGTCCATCAACTCTGGTTCACTGTGATCAGAAGAGGCAATTGTTATGCTGGAATGTAACTCAAAGCACATTCAGACCTTAAAAAGCAGGGTCAGAGTTTTTATTTGCCACAAATAATATTTGACCAGTGATGTGGAATAGAGAAATACTGAAATCACTAATGGACTGGCACAAGGCAGAGGCGGAACGCTGGGTCAAATTAGGGACAATAAAATAAAAACCGGATACTGTATTCTCGAAACAAGAATAACATGAGAAAATGGAAATAGCACACAAAAACATCACGCAAGGAACACATGGTGGGCAGAAGTGAGATGTGGCTTTCGCCTGAAAGTGTTCGAGCAGACTTACCCCAGCCGATGCCGTAATAGTAGAAGTGTTTGCTGCCCTCGGAGCCAAACACCTTCACCACCATACTGTAGAGGTGGAGGCCCTCCACCAGCATCCAGGCGAAGGCGCTCAGGAAGAAGAAGTGTAGCAGGATGGCCATCACCTTACAAGGCAGCTGGGACACGGCACAAAATCAGATCAGGCTTTTACCATCAAAACAAGCTCTTCTCATTATTGTCTGCTTTATCAATCAAAGGCATCTTGCTCATTTGTTTTTTTCTCTTCTCCTCTGTTCTGTCTTCTTCACCTTTTTTCTTTTAGATTTATTATTACCCATTCATAATTGATTCAATTAGTTGTGGTTTCTTTTTACCACAATTAACATTTTAAAACTGTAGCTCGCTTCATACATCATTACAAACTTTTTTTTCAGCAATCATTCTAATAATCTTAAAATTATTAGAATCAACAACATAATCTGTCCTTTGCTGTGCACTTACCGTGCCCGGGTCAAAGCGGGCACTGATGAGCAGTAAGATCTCAGCCACCAGGATGGCGAAGGACAGGTTGGCATGGATGTGGTAGCGTTGGTTACGGATGGTGCTCACTGACCTGCAGAGCAACAGAAGGTCACTTACAATACAATACAACTTTATTAATCCTGAAGGCAATTTGGTTTATGGCAACTAAAAGAAAAAACAAGAGGCAGACATTTACTGACAGATATCCACTGAACAATAACATAATAAAACACCATAAAAGTTCAGTTGTGTTGAGCTAAATGTCTTTAAAAATACTACATTTCTTTCGGTACATGTAATAAAAGAGTTTTTTAATACATGTTCATGACCACATTATAGATTTATGAAATAAATATAAAGATTATTGAATAAAGACCATGCAGTATAAATGTAACTTTGTCTGACTGGTGATACTCACGACAAGACTGCAAAGGTGACAAGAGTGATGGTGAGACACAAGATAGAAATGGAGCAGCCAACATAACCAATGGTTGATAGTGCCACCCGGTGGCCAGTAGTGAGCTGTGCACAGAGACAAATCACCATCAACAATGGAAAAGACAACATGTGAAATCATTACTATTAAACTTTATGGTGGGTTTGTTCATTGTGCCTCTGGCATACAGCTGAAGCTATTTCAGCCTGTTTCATTCAGCCTTCATCGATAAATTCAAAGGGCCCCTGTGGAAATTGTGATGAGGAAAAAACACTGACTCTCATTAATATTTCTCAGACAGGCTATTCCCAACAAAATGACACTGTCAAAAAGCTTAGTGTAGGTCAAACGCTAAAGTTGAGATTAACTTTTGCGACTGTAAGAATTCATATATGCCTGTTTTGTTTTTGTATAAACACAACTGATACAGTCACGTATTAGAGAAAGGCATCATCGAGGACCACGGCCATCAAGCACATTTTTCTCTCAGAGGTTAAAAAGTGGCAGTGATAATTATGTTCCTCCATTGCTTAAGGTCTAATGCATCAATGCTGTTTTGGTGTTCATGCTATTTTAAATGTGTGGGTTTGATTCTCTATTAACCGTCCTCACATGTGCCTTGTCATTACGAGGGCAGAGGAGTCCCGGCCTTCCAGAAAAGGGATATGTGGGATGTTCCCTTGCAGCTGAGGGATAAGGCAGCCCACTAATTAAAGAGTGGCCAAGGGCAAGTATAGCATCAAAGAATCTATACTTAAAAAACAGCACTGGCCCACTTAGCTGCAATAAGATGTCTTCTATTTAAAGTACCCATTGTGGACGCTGAACGCACTCCCATGGTGCATATTCTTGAATAACAAAGATTAAGACTGTGGTGTATACAGGTTTGGTTCTTCAAATTGATCCCTATGTAGATAATGTAAATGGACAGTGAATAAAGATTATCCCAGATGCTTCTGTTGAGAAGCTGTGGTGATTGGACCACTGACCTGTGCAGTGACCCAAAAGAACTATAGTTAATCACAGACCGTCTGTATGAAACCACCACTGAAACCGATACTATGACTGTGTTGGTCTGCTTAACACTGACGCATGGGGGGAACCGTCCAAAGGCTGCAGTGGGGGCTTCTGTTTGGCAGGTTACTCTGTGGTGAACCGCTGCTTTCTGCCAAATTATCCTCCTACAAATCCTCTTATTTCGTAACAAAGACACACATGTGAATATAACTGGTACAAATGGATAAACCTTTCTAAAGTAAGTTGGACTTTTACTGTTTCTGGAAATTAACTATGGAGAAAACCTTTAATCATCATATTTCAAAGCAGATATTTTACATGTCACAGCAGAAAAAGCAAACGTGTCACTAATTGCATTATAGCTCCTTGTGTTGAAGAATCCCAGTGAGCTACGCAAAATACAAGGACCAGGGGCTATAATAAAAACTCCATATTGGACTTTAAGATGGTGCCCATTCTTTTGAATATAAAATTGCTCCCAATGGCCCTTTGCAAGGCTCAGGAAAATGTGTGCAAATATAAAAACTCTATGGGTGAAAACCACATACAGTACATCAAGCGATAACTGAACTTGTTTGCAGTCCAAAGCACCATGTCAGCAGATCTCTAGGTGTCCGTTTTCTAAAGTTGGTATCTTAAACTTTTCCTAGTCTGATATTTACAAATGGCTTCTGGGAAAGATTTCAACAATAATTAATGCTAATAATACAACTAATAATACTATTTGAGGGCACAACAAGCTGTAAACACAATAGTTCTAAAGTTGATATGGCTAATAGTGTTAGCAAAAAGTTGCCTATTAAACATAAGAGATATGGTAAATGGTCTGTATTTTATATAGCACTTCTTTATTCTTCACTCAAAGAAGAAGCACTACTTTACAGTACAGTTTTGCCAGTCACCCATTAACACATCTATAGTATGTGCCACTACCAGCACAACCGTGACAGGTAATTACTTTCAGTATCTTGCACAAGGAGACTTCGGCACACAGAATGGGGGAGGTGGGAATTGAATTGCCAACCCTCTTGTTAGTAGACAACCTGCTCTACCTCCTGAGCTACAGCCGCCCTCCTGTGTCTGACCTCCTAGTGGATTTAAGTCAGTTGCTCACTTTTTTTTTATGATATGTTCACCTACTTTATCTGTCTTCTATGTGGTGGTGGGCAGTTTTCTACAGTGGGTCTATCAGAGAAAACAGCTGCATGCTGGAGATGAGCTGATGAAAACTGTGAGAGTGACTCAAGTATCAAAATTCTGGACTCCAACACCGGATAGAGTGAGAATTCTTTGTGGGCTCATTATTATGAGCAAACCATTTCACATTTCATTTGTCAGCAGTCATTTGATCAGTTGGTATCATTAAATATTAGAACAGCTCTAAAGTGCAGCCACAGTGTTTTACCTTTAAGGGAACCACTTGCATTAGGATGGCAAAGTTGGTGAGGTGGTTGCACAGACACACAGAGTATGTCATGTTTCCATCTGAGCGGACGCAACCTTTGTTGGACCACACTCCCTCATTTGAGCTGGAAAACACAGCAATTATGAATTATTCACAGAAAGAATTTATTCAGAAGTATATTAAAATACCAATGCTATGAAGAGTAAATATAGCGCATATAAAAAAACCTAGACAAGGTTTTTATAGCAGCACAGCTGGCAGGGATCACTCAATATGATCCACTGTGGGAGGCACAGAGAGAAGTTTCTTAGCTGAATTTGGGAGGGCATTCTGACAGGACCATCTCGTAATTCACATTTTTCTTGAGTTTCGAGGCAGAGAGGAGTAAGGAGAGGAAACCTTTGAATCCAACTAAAACACACTCCCTTTTAAAATGATTTATTCTATCTAAATAGTGCTTTGGCTCCATTTATCAGATCACCATATTTTTCACACAGCACTACAACTCAAGATATGCCAAACTGGAACAACAACACATGCAACTGTGGATGGTTTTGATTTGCGAAGGGGAAATGCACCTTTTCCTAATCACTGGTCATTTTTTATGATTTGAAACTTAAAGGCTTAAGCGATGAACATGCAAAGAGTCAACAATCAAGATGAAAATCTCTTTCACTCCATATCTGAATGAATGACTGAGACGCTGTATTTACATCATGACCCACCTGTAGTCCAAGAATGCACAGTAGAGGAAGACTTTATTGCTCTGATTTAGAACTTGGTCTTGCTGTTCTTTAGTCTGAAAAAGAAAAGTTGAATAAAGTTGAGATCCTTAATTGTGAGAGAAAAGTATGTGATACAGGAAAACATTTGCTTTATGGGCAGTGCTGGTGAATTAAATGACATGCCTTGTTGTCCCAAAACTAATGGCAACCTGTTTGGAAAAGTGATTTCAAATGACAGCATGGAATATTTCAGTCAGCAATCAGCCAAAGTCTTTCCTTAATGATCGTTGGCTTTTTCTTTCCAATTGTACACTCGACAACAGCATCAGATCTCAATTGTTCAGTAACAATAAAAGCAAAACAAAAGGTATTGTACAGTATCTAAACAGAGTTAAACCAATTTATTATTTTTACTTGAGAAAAAAAAATTGATTTCACTGGTGCTTAGAGTCCAGAAAACAGAGACCTAAACTTAAGAGATAAGGCCGCAGATCAACTCTTAGCAAAGATGGTTATTACACTGAGGGGAAATCCCTACTGTATTTAGAAAATATGATTATATTTGATTATAAAATCACTTTTTCCATGTCATTTCTTAATATGATATTTGGAGTCCCAGGAAACAGTGAGCTAATGGCCACAGTGCAAGAACGCAGTAATTGGGGCTTGGGCCTGGTTCCAGGTCGAACCGCCACCCTCCTCAGTCTGTCATCTGAAGAAAACAACACTTCTATTGGCTGGTTGGGTGGATACCGAGAGACTCCACACCTCTCCTCATTCCCTGGGCCTCGACTCGACTCGCAGACTGCGTAAGTGTATGATTAGATGGACTGTGTCTGCACCATTTCCTTCTGGAAAAAGTGAGAGTGAGAGTGAAACTGACAGTCAGGCTGTCTGTTTCCTGGCACATGGGCCCAGTGATTCATATTACAAAGCATAGCACAATACGTTGACTTCATTGTGTAACCAAATCACTGCTCTCATTCTGTCTGGTTTGCACATGCAGATCTTTAGTCATAATGTATTGGGACCCTGAAGATGAATGCAATACATAGATATTAATTTGGCACATTGGAGCCGATGGGACGATGCGTCCAACAGCAATGAGGGACAGTGTGTATGCAGTATATACACACTGTCATCTTAAGGCCAGCTTTGAGGAGCTGCATGCAGCCCCTTGGGTAAATTTACTGCTCCCCAGTGGACTTTCAACAATTCACTCTTTTATTGGGTTTTAAATAAAAACAAACGGAAGAGAGAAAAACTGTAATCTGCACACAATTGTAAGTCTTGCTTTACCGTGTTATACTTGTTCTCTACACTTGCTGAGCCTTTATTGTTCCTGTGCAATGAAGGACGACTAATTACCCACATTAAGCACAAAATGTAATCCCTGGCTCAGGGGAAACAATCCATCATCATCAAACTCTCACATACCCAAGACACACGCTAAAATATACATCAGCTAAAAAACTAACACACATATAAATGATGATGTTTGGCCATTCTTCCTCTATAGCAACTGTCTATTTGTGAAATATCCATCTTGTGTTTTTGAGTTGATATCTGAGGCGAGGTGCAGGAGCCCAGAAGTCACTGGCGAGTGTTAAAATGCACTCAGAGATCTGGCCTAGCTTTGTGAACAGGCTGTTGCCGCCCCTCCTCGTCCCACCCTCCATTGCCCCACGTCCTCAGCATCTATACCAGCCAAGACTGCAGCTGGCGCTCCAACTCTTTATTAGCAACAGAAGGCCAGCAAACGCCGCCTTGGAAATCAATTTGAGCCTTGTAAGGAGAATAGACGCAGAGGGTAAGAGAGGGAGATGGGGGAGCGAGTGCCAGTGACAGGAGAGTGATGCAGAGTGATGGGCTGATAAAAGACAATTCTCTGAGAAAGAAAGAGAGAGAGAGGCTGATAAATCGTAGATAGTCATGGTGTTTCTGGTGCTTCTGTGTCACCATGTCTGCCTCAGTGCAGCCGTCAACTACAGCTCCATCTACAGTTCGCACTTTAACCACAGGTCACTGACTCCTCCGCAGCAGTTCACAAATATCAAGTTATTCATCTCCATATTCACCAAACGAAAGAACTATTTAGATTTATTTATGTTTAGGTATCAAGTGCTACCAACCCTATGACTGTGAATGCATGTTAATGTAAGTGTCTTTTTTTAACCACTTCATATAGTGTTAGGTAGTTAAATCCAGTAGGGACCAGTCAAGGGGTCGAGACTCCTCAAAACGCTCTGGAGCTAAACCTGAATGGTGATGAGATGATTATCCCAAATACGTTTGCTACAAAATACATTTGCTGCTTGAGCTCAGTTACATAGAAACATTATTTTGAGGACACAGGGTGGAATTTAGAGTATCTGTATTTCCTAATGCACCCAAAAGACTGTACACTGAGCTCTGCTCCCTGTAGAACTACACCCACCCATTATGGACTGCACTTTTACTCAAGTTTAACCCTTAACTTTACAATATTCATTCTGCCGTTGCAATTCAATGGCTTATGTGCAATCCCTTCCACTATATATATTCTTGCACTCTATATATTTTGTTTTTACACTGTAAATATTAGTATTTTTCTATTCATATCATTTCTATATATATATATATATTTACATTTTGTACATTCTCCTACAATCATGTATTAAGCATTGCATTTTTATTTACTATAACTTACTGATCTCTATTTTTGACTGCCCTCTTGCTGCTGTAACATTGCAAAGTTCCCCGTTGTGGGAGGAATAAAGAATTATCTTATCTTATCTTAATTCTACTCAAACTAATACAGCCTAATACATGGAGAGAGTCTTGGGTAACTGGATGCAAAGAAAAATACTGTGCATAATGATGCAACTATAAGAGTGTACTAATGTGTCATGTTATCATCATGGTACACTAATAGGTAATATGATAATGTTGTACATAATGGTGTATCCTGCTGACTCGCCGATACAAATACACCCCTATCGGCCATTCAGCCTAATACGCCAATTATTTGTAACTGGGAACAAAAGGTCCTTAAACTTCAAAATGAGAACCGCTGCTTATTATTGGATTCTTTCTCTATGTCCCCCAATAAAAAGCACACCTCATCCTTTTGCTTATTAATGGGGTGTTGAGCCTGCTGAGTAAAATGATGAAGGACTAAAATAAACACATTCATGCATCACAAAAGCATTTAAGTCAGAGACGACGTTCAGAACCCAGCAATTTGTATAAACGCGAGCCTCTCTGTCCTCTGTGGTGTCTCTCAGACCTCCCTTGACTGGCAGAGCTGGAAGCTGGAGCCTTGCTGTGGTCGAGCGTATATGCCTCAGCAAATCCCAAGACATGGGCAACTCCTGGCCAATTTACGTCTCAGCTGTTGACAGCTGGTTCTCAAACAAGGCGCAAATAAAGAAAAGATGGAGAAAACTACACAACACCCATCATCCAAGTCTCGACACTCAACACACACAGACTGGCCTGGTGCACACAGAGACGCACATACTTCTGTCTGAAATAAGAATATAGTTTACTGATGTGAAATGATCTAAATGAAGCTGTGTATTCACCACCAACGTTTAGGCATTCATAACTTTAACAGACGGTTAAAACATGTTAAAATATACATTATTGACGTATACATATGCAGCAGTAAAATATAAGCCAACAATATGGTTCTGTTAACAAACTCAAATGGAGATATAGAAAATAATTGTATTTAGTTTTAGTGGACAGTATATTTCATCAAATATGCTCTGAGCTCCATGACTAGTTTTCTTTCCAGGCTCTGATATGAACTTGAAAGCATACGATGTGGTTGAACACTACGAAAAGGGCTTGTGACTGAACCATGCGTTGTTTCTTTTCTTCTTTTTTTTTACAAAATGTAAAATATCATTAATGAAACAGTCATGCACACACCCACTCATTCCATCCAGCACTGGTACAACAATATGCAGCCACAAGAGCAGTGAGGCATATTTCAGGAGCAAAGGAGTCTAAATAAAAGCTTCGGTTTGTGCTAAATTTAAAAGAGCAGTGAAACATTACACAACTGTGTGTGTGAGAGTGAATATAACTGGGCGATCTTCTCCTTTTTCCTCAAACGTTTCACATATTTGGGAGCACAGAGTGCCAGGGTGTAATTTGGACTGCACTTTCTACATTTGGTGTAGATATCAATTTTCAACTGTGTAGCCGCCATCAGGGCCCATAACAGCACAGAAAGTCATGAAGCTATCATTATTATTATTTTTTTTGCTGAAGTGTACAGTAGGTGAAAGACAGGCCAAGATGCAGCCAGGGTTTGATAATGGATAAATTGTTCTGTATAACAACAGAGAGGTCATACACGCATTTCCATTATGTTAAATTTAGAAAGGAAAGGAAACTCTTTGTTGTAGTATGTCTGGGAAAGGTGCGGCGTAACATTATTCAAACAACCGGCTTTGGACTTTGAGAAAAACTTTCCCCTTGAACCACCTTGAGGTCAATATATTAAAGTATCGTGCTGATGGAGCACAGATGTCATCGTTGTTGTAACAGGGCTTTTCAATCATAGGACAGACTTAAGCCGATCCACATACAGCATGTGGAGTAACGATCTGAATCCATGCAAACACAACTGGCCTTGAGTGAGATCATGCTGTCAGGGGAAATGTAATAAGACATGCAGCTGTGGTCTCAGCTCAGTCTCTGAGGTAGCCTAGACATCGAAAACAATGGGACGTGCTGATAGGCATGCAGGGTGTGAGGAAAATTTGGGGACAATTAAACAAGCCCAAACATTACAGAGCTATTTTCAATAAGGTGAGCTGAGGATGTTCAGAAAACTCTGTACAGGGGCCATTAGTTTGGTAAGAAACAACAAATGTGACAAGTTTTTCCCTCTCACAATGGAAGAGGTTTTCCATGCCTTTCCATGTGTTGAATTCCCACAGGCTTTCATAAGGAACCATTACACTGTTTCTCTGGTCTCTGGCCTGTTTCTGTCGGCATGACAAGCTGAGGGCTGCGTTTTGAGCCTTTGCAGGGAAGTTCAAAATGTGGGAAATATACTTGGTAAAATAAGGGTCAACAATAACATTTTGGCTGTGATGTTCAAAGCCAATTTCAAAACATGTAATCGTATATCACCATTTGTAAACCAGCGGAAAACCCCGGAATGAGCAATTCAAGAAAACTTCAGTCATTAATCAGTTGTCAAAATAGTATAATTATTTATGTAGAAATACACTGAAACTGACAGAATCTGCACCAGGACCTTTTGTACTTTCCTCTGTTCAGCTTGTAACAAGAGGTGGTGGTTTCATGGTTGAAATGGGTGATAGAGAGGGGGCCCTTTACGGGAGGGGCCGCAGAAGAATCTTTTAGCAAGAGAGGCATAGCAATAGCTGGTCCGCCATCTGTGATTGATCAGCATGCTGGCTCACACAGCCTGCACTTGTATGTGTGTTGGTCTGTGGATGGGTGTGGGTGGTTAGGAGAAAGAGTAAGAGGGAATTGAGTCTTTGCCCACGAGGTTTAAGCTGGGCGTGTGCTGGGAGTTATAAAAAGACTGGCAAAATAAAGAGCAGTTATGATTGTGGCAGAAAGAACTGATACCAGTGTTGGCATATATGATTAAATGATTAGGGAGTGCAGTTATCGGAAAGTGAGCGTGCCTATTTTCGAAGTCGGTGAACAATCAAGCCATTATTTCCCACTTGTATGGGAAGCTCCAACAAGTCTAGGCATAGTTTCCTCACTGACCCTGACCTCTTTACTCACCTTCCACCAAACTCACTTTCATGCTCTTTAAATTACGGGAAGGAACTGACGGATTAAACATAATGGAAAACTTTGACAATCACAGTTTTTTGCCACTGTGGGTGATAATTTTAACTGATGGACAATGTTAACGTCAATTGGTTCAAATGCAAAACTCTTATTTTCTTAGTTTTAAAATAAAGACAAAATAGTTTTTTTAGGAAAATTTTAGGAAAACTCAGCTCCGAAACAAGATCAGCCAGGAGGTAGTCTAGCACATAACCTCTGGTAAACCTGTGCATTAATTGAAGTTGAACTGAGTGAGCTAACAGTTGATATGTGACTTTAAAGGACAGGTACTTAGCAGTATATTATCTAATTTGTATCTCTCTATATTACATATGTAATGAAATAAAAGTGAGTTGAGGGGCAGATCGAGGACACCAGCAGTCTCGTACTGCTGCCACCCTGCTCCATCCTTTGCTTCAGCTGCCACACTAACACACTGCTTTATAAGCTTGTAAAGTCAGGCCCCCTTGTCAAAATCTGTTTTTGAAATCCTCTCAGTTTTGACCTTATAAATTGACTTTGCTCATGAAATCAATCTTTCCAGTCATTCACTTCATACCATGAGTGTGATGCTTTGACAGAAGAAGAGAACAGGGAGGCGGTGTCTGCCTTTTTTATGTATGCATTAATGTTTAACTACAGACCCCAATGCTTCCCACCCTCCTGTTTCTTCTCTTCTTCTCTCCTTCAACCCTTTCAAACTGAACTGGACTCACAGTAATAAATCACTGACGGAGCCAGGGTCCAATCAACACCGCAGCTGAATGCCGTGAGAAAGCACGTGGGCCTCTAGCAACCTTGATAACACCTTGTCTGTGTATCAAATCCACTCTGGGCCACATAAGGTGAAATGGCGACATTTTGGCTCTGACTAAGTCAGCTGGGAACGGCATGACCTCAGCGGGCTGTTTCAGTGAGCTCAGAGGGCATCAATCAGAACTGTGAGGTCACTGAGACATCTACCACATGGCTTTGACCTTCAGTGAGTGCTACCTGCCATGACACAAGGTTTTTGTACATGTCGGTGACTCCATCAATCCATGGTACAACACCTTTTATCATGGTAGGTGTCAGATAGAGAAAATGGATGGCTTTTGGGTTTGAGCCATGACAGTGGGCATACAGGATTTGTTGTAACCATGACAGCATGAAAAGACAGATGAGGAAGCTGACATATTTCTGCTTTAGACACAGTCAGCCCCCCTGCTCGGTTTTAATGAAGTCCCTGGGTGCTTGTCTATTCTCAGGGGATAAACAGAGCGGTCAGTTGCAAATCACTTACTCTCGCCCACCGAACTGGTGTCATGAGAGGACATCTTTAAGATTGAACTTGTGCAGACAGTAAACAATGACATAAACAATGGCGGCAAAGGTCTACCTCATACTGTGTGTTAGCCACCCTCCCTGCCTCTAAGCTAGGGAGGTGATAAATATATTCCAGTTGCCAAAGACATTAAAACTCTAAAAATAATAACTTTTTTGACTAAATCCAGCTTCAGGTCTGCGCTGCAATCCAGTTGTAGCAAAACACTCCCATTCCTGGATATGTTCACAGCCAAAAGCACTGAGAGCAAAATTACGAGGCAGCCCCTAATGTAAATCATCGTCAAAACTATGCAGCCTAAGTACCGCTGAGAAGTGCTGGCATGGAGCGATCCAATCAGTATGCTTTGGTAATAAGTATAATAGCTTATTTGTAATGGCTTAGAGAGGAAAGAATGTAAGAGACCTGATTTATCCTTACATCAGAGGTGAAAGGCAGTCCAACTAAAACAGAAACACCTTGACTCAACAGACAGCAGAGCTGGTGAGCATCTCCAGTGCTCCCATAACAAAGGAGATCATACAGCCTCTCCCATGGTGTCCGCTAAAACAAACACAGTAATCATTGTCACAGCAACCAGGCCAGATAATTTCAGCATAAACATTTATTTCCCAGATGAAAATGACAGTAAACAAAGCAAAATTGCCATGGTTTCATTAAGCTGCATGGTTTTCATTTGCACCATTATGAGTGAAGAGAGAGAAAAAATATTGGTATTTCATTTCATTTGAAAGCAAATAATTTTTGTAAGTGTCTTGTAAATCAGAAGTACATTATTCGAGGTTTGTTAAATTTTATTATTAATGCCATTGTGCATTGTTCATTTAGAGAGAAATAATAACTTAAAAATCCTGTCAATGTGAAAAGAAATTACAGAAATATACTTGCTCTGCCACATTTCTGACTTAACAGGGAAGCAGGCTAACACGATACACATTTTTCACTTAATATTCATTATGAATTTCAATGGCATTTCCCATGGAAAACTGGCTCGGCCCCTGTCATAAAGCAGCAATGAAAAGTATGTTGTTCATAAAATAAAGTTATTGTTCCTTTTAAAGTACCCTAAGCCTAGAGTTGAAATGTCCATAATCAGTTTGCTCCCTGGAAGCCACATGCTCCATGAGGGAAAATTTAGGCAGGGTAATGAAAACCAAAAAAGGCTTCGCTCTTTGTGCTGGTGAGCACCCAGCTGCACACGCCTCGGTCAGTGATAGACACTCGTCTGCTTACATAAGAGAATGCCAAAAATAGAGCAGTTAGTTTTCACATGGGGGGAATCCGGCTACTGTAGCCGTAGGTAGATCATGGCCATCTTTCCTCTGATAATGTGGAACCTAATGACTGTGCCGGCCAAATGGAACAGCGTAACATTTTCCCCCAGTATGACTGACTCACACAGAAAGTAAATGGTCAATAAAGACATGAGTCAGATGAGAAGAAACTAGGACACTAAAACTTACCAGAACGTGGGTGAGGACAATCTTGATGAGAGGTGCTCCAGAGAGGTTGACTGACAAGGCTGGTGAAGGCTCCACCTTAAGGGAGATTAGACAGCTCGCTACCTGGATCTTGTGATCCTTGAAATCAGAAGCTTCGTTAATCCTAATAAACAAAAAAGAGAAAAACTAAATGAAACAGAGGCAGAAATAAGAGTCACAGATATGAAAAGAAACAAAAAGATACAGTGAGTTAAATAAAAATTAAAAAAAACACTGTAACATGGCACCCACATCAACACATAAGTGTTACATATGGGCCCAGGGCAGTCACATTTAAGTGGGACTTTGATCATTAAGGCAACAGCAGTATTGCACCAATAGGCTTTCAAGATCATCTGATATGTGACATCAGAGTCATACAAGCGTCACTTCTCTCTCAAAGCAGATACAGAGGTACCATCCTACCCTGGAGGAGCCCAGCCGAGGGAGAGCCACACGAAAAACAATCTCTCCGAATGTCACATATCTTACATTCTGTACTCTAACCTCTATAATGTGCAAAGTTGGGAAAAACATGTTGTTCAATTGCTGTTGTGGCAGGTTTGGTCAAAATAAACACTGCAGCATGAGCGGAACAAGTTGGTCCAGGGATGAAACAGTAACTGGGGGGGTGGGGGCGAGGGTGGGGTGTCAGGGTTTGATATGAAGCACTAATAGCAGGGTGTATCAGTCAGAGGAGGTTGAGTGATGAGATGAGAGATAGGCGAGAGGACAGATAAGGCCCTGGCTCCAGGCATCATCTGTGCTTCAGGAAGCTGGGGCGTCTCAGAGCCAGTGGGCCTCATTCCCCGCACAGGAAGCATCTGCTGCCAAAACTAAATTGGTATGCTAAAGCTTTTAAATTTAAATGTGATAAGATTGGACTGGGCTTTACCTCAATTAACTTTTGACTGTTGGTGTTGTCCTTTCCTCTTACCTGGTCTTGACTGGGCTGATTTCTTTGTAGTAGCTGTGCATGTTGTGGTAGAAGAGGCCAACAATGGTGGTTTGAGCTGAGAGGGAAAGAAAACTCATAGATGAATGTGAAAGGCATCATGGGCAGAAGGCTGGGAATGTAAAGCGGTCCTGCTAAATTGCTCACAAAGAAGGGAAGTTAATTAACACTGCCTCGAAGCAGCACGCTGGCACTAGCAGGCTAATAGGACAACTGTATACTCGCACAAAAGTGAAATGGAGAGGGGTTGCAGAACACATGGATGTCGGGAAGTCTTATGAAACCTCTTCATGACTTCACCCGGAGTGCAGGGGGTTTGATCCCCCACTCGTAATCTGACCTATCATCCAGTTCGGTGCAAGATAAACAATTAAATTGGAGGAAATCCTAAATGGTCCTGTTCCTCCCTTCAAAGACCCTTTACCAGCAACCCTCCGACTAGGACAACAAGAGTGTGCTGATATCAAACAAATGTGCGCTGTGTATGCTACAGGAAAGTTTTTACCCTTCCAAAAATTGTTTCAACAGAATGACCCCCAGGAAGTTCCACAAGAGATCTTGAGGTGGCCAGGAGGAAAGAGAATAAGAAAAAAAATGAAAATATAATAGTGTCCAAACACACCAATGTGTCAAATTCTCTGTATTTAATTAGGATATAAAACCTCCCCTTGGAGCATTTCATACAGCCAGGTATTCAGAGCTATACGAGTTAATTTGGTCCTGGCTGTAATGTGTCAAGCAATGACTTATATTTCATTTCTGACAATAACCATTTCAAGGAATTATTAAAGGGGTTTCTTCTGGTGTTCGTACGGCAACACAGTTGCAACACAGCCAAGGGAATCTGACCTGAACACAAAGTTAAACAAACATAGTTTTAATGCCCACTGTAATTACAGCTCTCCTCTACTCCGCTATGTGAGTCCATTCTTTTTAATGACAGAGGAAAGTGGAGAAAACGTGCTCTCTCTCTCACTCTTTCTGTTTTGAATAAAAGGGTAACTGCCAACAGTAAAGCCATTGCTGGTTTTCTACAGTGCACCATAAAGCTGCACAAAAGCTCTCATGGCACTCCTATCCTACACTGTACACTATGTTAGCACTCTTAAATCTTAGCATAATAAATTACGGGCCAATAACGAGAGTCTCCCTGCTGGACAATTTTCTCTTGGCTGAATCAGAGCACAAATACTGTGCAGCATTCACATTTAACCTAGATACTAGTTTTTTACGGTGGCTCGGCGAGCTCAAGGTGCTACAATTTAGGAAAAAACGTGTAAATATACACAGTGAGATGGAAAAGAAATTAATCAATTTGACAACACAAGCGCGGCAAATGTAAAAATGCAACTAAATACTCACAACACAACGGAAATGACAGTGATGAATACGGCTGAGACACTTTCGCCAATTTAAGTAACCTTAATAACTTAATTCATCTACAAACAGGCTAATGTCATGTTAAAATAGGACTTTCATTTTTATTAGATCCACATGTATTGTCTTTTCACTGTGGAATTGCACATAATGCTAGGTTAACAGCTTTTATCTGCAAACATTATATGACTTGTGATCACAGGGTTAAAATAAGCAAAAAAACAACACTAAAGAATTGTCATCTTTAGTGACTTTACCAGTCACAAACCATGCCAACCATGTTCTTTACTTTTTCGTGTCCCCTGGATACAATACCATTGTGTTGTGGTCATATGGTTATTTTGTGAATATTTTTTTTTTTTGTGGAATATTTTGTTGTTTTGTATTTAGTTTTGTGGTGAGTGCGTTTTCTATTTGCTGTCCATCGCACATATTTATTTATTTTTTTTAAAGATTCTGTAGAGAATATATATTTTGCAATATTACACTTACACTGCAAAGTGAGAGCCTCCCCAGGCACAGATATGTAGCTCTTGCCATGTGTAGGGAAGCGATAATGCTGCAGGTTGTAGTTCTGCGGGACCTTCATCAGAGAATAATCTGTGGGGATCACATAGCAGAAAAAGTGAGAACAAACTAAGAATAAAGCAAAGTGTACCATCCGGTCAGCTTTATCAGGGGAGGGTCAATGATGTCAAGTGACCCTTTGGAAGAAAGACATGAGCAGGCGTAGAAGCAAACAAAGTATTATACAAACAAAAAGATCCACACCCGTGAGAGGCAGCATGGAGGGGGTGGACTCCTGCTTATCTTACCCCATTTCTGCTCTGAATAAGAAAACGAATGATGTCAGCTTGATGCTGTGTGTCTTCCTACCATAACTGTGACCACACACGCTACAAACAGTGAGTCACCTTTTGGGGAGCTAACAGAGTACTGACCTGCAACAAAAGATGTTCCACCCAAGGTGATGAGAGAGTTCGGGCTGGGCTCCAGATTCGTCACCATGTGTTCCATCACTCGGTCCACGGTCTTGATCAGACCGCTGGCCACAGGGGTGGACTGCTGCTCAACAAACATACAACAAATGTCCACAATCAACTGATCAACTGTGACACACTCTGACCTATTAAACTGTGTGGGGCAACTCCACTAATTTCCCACACAAAGGTAATTTCAATTGTGCTATGGCTATAGAGGAACCTCATACCCTTTTTTACACCAAAATTAGAATGTATATGTGTTTTATTTAATGGAGGCATTTGACTGTTTTCACATGACTTTACCTTTCTATTGAGACTTTTAGCTGACGTGCAGACCACTAAAACGGATTTGTCACCTCTCATCTGCTTGTTAGTCTTCCTGTTAGTGACTGAGCTTCTGTGTGAGACACGTCGGTCAGTTAATGTCTTTTGAAAACTTATTATGGGGCTGTGTGACCATTAGCATAATCAGTGTAATAAAAACAAAAGATGTAGCTGCAGTATTTCTGGTTTAATAGCACTGTATTGGGCTAGCGCCATCTGTCATATGACCTGGAAATTAATGCTGATCATACCCTTTCACATTGAAGACAAAAGCCAAGTGTAGTGGGTGTTGGTAGGTTTTTTTTGTCCTGTATTAAATGGGCTCATGGGAAACTGTTATGATGTCATTAGGCTAATCTCAGTTTAAGCTTTGACACTAGCAGAGTCTGTGCAACAAGTGGGGGAGTATTTACAGGTATTTACCAGACGGGAAGGAACATGGAAATCCAGGGTTTTTAGAGATTGACACACAGAGAGTAAAAGTCAGGCTATCTTGGCTTCTGTTGCTATAAGGTTGCTCATTATTTATACATTTGCATCTGCAGTTGGACAGTGGCCACTTCAGCTACAAATTACAATTATAGGATAATGTTTAATGCTACAGCTTAGCATACAGCTATGATGCTAAGCTATGCCAGAAGTAATACAAGTAGACAAAAGCCATAAAGTCAGTGGATTGTTTGAATTGACACATTACCAGACATTAACTGTATCACTTGGTTAAACCCATCCAAATATGACTGGTCCGCAAAACTCTGAAGTGAACTGAAGTAAGCAGTTGTGCATTGTTTCATATGTAAGAGCATTGATGGATTATTTGTTTCACCCAAAAGTTACATAGGGTCATTCAAGATTATTTAAATATGTAGCATGTGTTATATGACACAAACGTTGCAAATACATTTTAACTGGCTCAAATACAAAACACATACTATCCATTATAATACAGAAACTTGATAGAGAGTGAAATTTTCACCAATCTGATCAGAAAAGGTAATCACAAGATCAAAAGATGGTTTACTGAACACAGAATCTCCTGTCCAACTTTTACATTCTCATGCAAGAACATCTGGTTCAGCTTGCTCGTACAAAAACAAGCATGCTTGTTCTGAGCTGTAAATGTTCTGAAACCACATACTTGCTCAGAATGTCTTTCTTCTGGCCATAATGTGTTTGTATATGAGAGCTGGAAGATTTTGGCTAGGATAAGTGCACGGTACAGGAAGCTGCACATTTACATTCACAGCATTGTGTTGCAGTCAGCAGTACTGTCTTATTAAATGTGTACAGGCAGGCACACTGCCAAATACTGCTATTTTTCCTGGCCCCAGATATGCCAGAAAATATGTTAAAATCTCCAGCTCATAGATCTCTTAAGTGCCTTGGATTAAAGTCTTCACCAAATTGCATATGTTACATTATGTCATGTGTGAGCGTTGCACAACAACAGCGTGAACTCATTTACCTCTGGCAGCCCAGGAGAGGACAGCACTTCTTCCACACTTTTGAGAAAAGCCTGGATGGAAGAAAGTGGAAATCACAGAACTGTTGCGTCATATACAGATAGTTGAGCATTGCAACTTTGTGTGAACTGGTTTTGTAGTGTAAAATATGCGTGCGACTGCACTCCAGGACCTGCGTGAGGTTGTTGGCAGTGTTGTGAGGAATGGTCCTGTTGGGCAGCACCGTCAGGAAGCCCAACACTGGCATCGGCTCTGGATCCGGGGAGCTTTGGGCCTCCTCACCCTGACTACTGATGACAGGAGGACTCACTGCAGTGGCTCTCTGGGAAGACAGAGTGAGACATCAGGCACCGAATGAAATCGACTATCTGGAGGCACTTTTTCCAACATACACAGGATGTTTGGTGACGGATGAGTTCAGGGGATACTCTTTGGACAAGTCATTTAGTGCTGCTCTTGTTTCGCCTAGTGCCCTACAGGGAGACATTTTCTTTGAGGTATTGAGCAGCTGACTCTGCTTTTTTCTATTTCTTTTCTTATTCATTTTACTGTTCTCCCTCCCAAGCCCTTTAATAAACAGTAGTCTATTCACATGTGTTCTGTTTGTATCCCTTGTCCTCACTCTTCTATCTTCGAAATGAAACAATCGAGATGTTTGTGTTTTTACTGATTCAACAAAAGCCTTCATCTCTCTTCCATGATGAATTTTGTGTTTAGTTTTGGCCCAAAACATGTCTGCAATTTTGTCGTACTATGTGTATGAGGATGCTGCATTTGTAAGGAAAACTTACATTCACAAATTTGTGGACCAATTGTGGTATAACATAATTTTTTTGTATCTGTGCTTTGCTGTCTCAGCTGACACACTTACAACTGTTGGTGTTGTTGAAATGACTTCCTTGGAGGATCTGGGTGTTGTGGCAGAGACAATGGCTTGACCTAGAAAAGAAAATAAACAAGGTTTTATTAAAATAGGACAGAAACCTCACTAGTGACCTGTAAGTGTAATTCATTTTTTATCTCTGGTAGGTTTCCCAGTTTAGACAGATGCTGCCTTTTTGTCATTTTATTATTAGGACTTGTGTTGAACTTGACCAGACTCAGCTGCTGTGATGTAGCTGAACTTTCCCTGTGCAGCTTAACGTTTACAAGGATATACCATGTTATGTCATACATAATATTCTGCCATCAGCTTCTGCACAAGGGTAAGGTATATTTTATGTCTTTGCTGTCATTTAATAAAAAATGGCACTAAGTAGCTACCAGAAAATGGCCCTATATGGACATACGGTATCAGTGTGAACCATTGTTGCCCATCTTTGGTCCAATGCAACATTTTATATGAGTGCTCTAGAGAGGTAAAAATATTTTTCTGTAACCATAACACTCATGCTCTTTGTGTCTGGTAATGGTCTGTGGAATATATTGCTTTTGGTAACGACTTTGAAAAAGAAATAGAGGCAGTGCGCACTTTATGTTTCACACACTGTGATCGGTTGAAGCTCCGGCAGCAATAGTTTTCATATAACACCACGCACAATGGGAGAGACAGCATGCACCCTCACTAATCAGTATGTTTGGTACAAAGCATGTATTTCATCCAGCTTTCAACATTTCCTTGAACCTACTTTGAAATTTGGTATTATTATCACACAGCAAACTATGAACTTTGAGTTCTCATAAATATCAACATGTTTTTGTCCATTTATGGCACTGCACATCTGACCATGGGAGGCCAACAGCAAGAGAGCAAAAACAGACAGGAGTGTGGGGGTTTTGTTTGAGCGTGTTATAAGCTGTCACTTTGAAACAAAATGATCTGCCCCCTGCAGCCCAACCTGCCTCTGCGCTCTTATACAGTAAATACTTATAAGGCAGAACTATGCGAGCCATGGCACTTATAGGGTCCAAGGTCACAAAACTGTTTTGTGCAAGAAGAGCCATTTGACAAGGAGGAGGTGTATATTTGTACAGTTTAATATCTTGTTGTTATGCATGAACACTGGGGACGGAATGTAAAAAGGAAAAGGACGGAAATTGCTTTTTAACCCCCATTTCCTCAGTGACGAGTCAAGAGGGAGGAAGCATTATAATAGATATGCTATGTCCTAGAATGACAGGAAATACTTCCCAGTAGATTGTGGTTTCCTACCTATCGCTGCGTTGTAGTAGAGCTTAATATCGTCGGGTGAAAGGGCCCTTTCCCAGATGACAAACTCATCAAAAGCGCCTGTTAAATAGTGACCATACGCCCTGTCATTGCCAGTTCCGATGACCAGGTCAGGGTAGGGGTCGCCGTAGTTCGCCGAAACGTTGCCAGCTGTGTCGCCAGCAGTGAAGGTGCCGTTGATGTAGACCTTCAGACCGTCCGTCTTTTTCCATGTGAAGAGAATGTGGGTCCAGTAAGGCCCTGAAAACAAATAATGGAGAATGATGCTTTGTGCAGAGGGAGCTGTTTTACAAAATAGGTCCAGTGAATGTTATGGCCGTGAAAAAGTGAAGAGGAATCATGCACAGCAAATTCGAGGTAAATTCCAAACCGTCAATGAGTTAAAAAGGTTTGAAAACTAGAGTTTATCTCTGATGTTTATTGAGGACACTTATGAGTATCCGGATATACACCATTCAGCTGTGTTTCAGTTCAGTGAGTGGGACTATGCAGTCACAGTTAGCACGAAACACAAACAGTTGAGGCTGATGGTTTCCCCTGATGGTGGCACTAGATGGAAAGTCCATGTATATCACCAAAGTCATTTTGATTAATCTGATGGTAGCTTGTTTAAAATAGCTCAAATGAATAATCATTAATCAAAGTAGTTGCTGATTCATTTCAATCAACTAATAAATGAATTAACTTGTTCATCCTAAATGTTATATTTGTCCTTGCTGTTCTATGATAAATGCTCCACAAATCCTGAGTCAAACTCGAGGCCAAAGACTGCTCTGGTCCTTAAATCTCTTTACAGTCAACGTTAACCCACAAAGAGAAGAGAACTTTCTTCATCTCGTTTCTCTGAGGTACACAAACAATAAGGAGATTCTCAAAAGACAATACATTCACTGTCTGAAATCACGTCTGCCAGGGGAGCAAAACAACCAGCACACATCTCATTTGTGGTCAGAATATAAAACACATGTGCCACAGACCACCCCCCCTTTAAACAGCTCAACCCTCTCTTTCATTTCTTTATGGCGAGAGTTTTATCTCTGGTGTAACATTCTGAAGACATGGTCAGAGGGCACATCATGCTTTTCCTCCCTCTTGTAAGACACCAAAGAGAGAACTAGCAGATTTTGACAGTATGTCCTCAAAGTTGGACATTTCCGACTCTATGAGAACCAGATGACATTAAATCCTCTTTAACTCAACACATCAACATTGAATTATTGACGCCCCATGAACACAAGCTTGAGTAACTGCTGCAAAAACAAAGGTGACAGAAGTCATTTGAGAGCAAAGTACTGACCGGTTTAAGTCACATCATGTCAAGTCTCATATGGTTTATTCACTTTTGTCAAAACACTTTTCCAAAAAACATTTAATCTCAGATGACTGCAAACTTCATTTTCAGCCAACTCAAGGTATTGGTCAAAGTCTGACCTGTATTATGTTTCACATTTCTAACTCGACCTAATTGAAGAGGGAAATGATCACGTCATTACAAATACATGGTTTTCTTAGGTTTTGTGATTTAGCAAAAAATATTTATGAAACATATTCTTTTCTTGTTAAAACAACTGTCCTGACAGACTTTCTTTCGGGTCAAATTCAATAAAGACACTGATAACAAATAGCCCTTGTATTTTGGGCTATCAAAAGTAATACAAAGGCAGACTGAGTCACAGTACCTGGGACTCTGATGTTGGCCTTCCACCTGTGGTTGTTGCCTCGAGTGTAAAACTCCACATAACCTCCAAAGGGATTAGTGAAGACGGAGAAGCCGTTAGATATAACTTTCCCTCCAGAGGCGACAGCAAAGCGGGACTCGGCCTCATGGTTTTTCCAAAAAAAGGAGAAGGTAATCCCTGGTGAATGATGGAAAATCATTTGTAACCATCGAGACAAGAGACTGAAATGGTTTGGAAATATTATTGTATGCATTAGCTACAGTGCACTCACCCTCAGGACCGCACAGAGTAGGGTCACTGATGCAAGAGTTCTGGTAGTTTCCAAAGTGAAGAAAGGTGCCGCCATTATCTCCATTCAGAAAGATGCCCTTGTTAACCATTCCTTCAACAATGTCTGCGGCAAAGCACAAATCAGGGTCATAAATTTGCTTGAAAATGTGGAGCCAGAAGTTTGACTACAGTGCCAAAATATGTGTTTATTTATCTGCTTGTTCAACAAATAAAACTATGAAAAGACACTTAACAGTAAACCAATCATAAATTGTTCTTCAACTGATCTGCCTTAGTATCTCATAACAAAACATCATAAGCATTAATAGTTGCTTAAACGAATTGGTATTTTGCAATTCTCGTTTGACTAAATGCTGGTTTAATTAAAAGACAAGAATTTTTTTATCTTGCGCTGAACATGCAAGACACTGAACAAGGACAAGAGTATGAAATGCTCAACTCAACCGTGTGTGCATACGGACGACAAACAGAGAGCAGTGGGTGTTGCAGAAATGAATTTCAGTGAGCGGAAGTGATTGGATCCTCACCTACTGTTGCAGAAATGTTAGTGTAGGCAGAGTCATTGGTATACACATAGGAAGAGTTATGTGAGGAAGGGAGCACAGTGTGGTTGTGGATTCTGAGAGCTGGACAAAGACAACGGGGAGACAACAGTGATTCACACCTAAACAGACACAGAACAGGAAACACAGGAGAACAGTGAAAGCAGGACAACAGGAGGGACGTGGTGTGCAGGTATGAGACAGAGTGATGCTGAGCACACGGTGGCAGCGCTCGAAGGAAACTCAGGGACTCCACACATCATGCTCAAGTCTATACCTGATCCCTCATCAACATTTCTTTAAAAACATGATCTAACCGGTTTACTGAAAAATGGCTGCACATCCATTACTACCCAATTTAAAATCACATTACTTCACACACCAGATATCTGATCCTTTAATTTCAGTGATAAATCTTGTATTAGTCCTGAGTACATTTAAAAAGCATAATGGCTTAGGCTGAAAGGTGGATGGTGCAAAACAGCTTGAGACCATGCAGAGGGCATCCAGACAAAGACATTTAAAGGTGGTGCATAGAGCTTAAAACTGTTTCTGTATTTACATACTTATGTTACTCCCGTTAACATAACCTGGTCTCTTTCCAATCTGGTCCCACAGCTCATGGATTCCGTCCACAGCATCGAGAGGCCAATAATGTGAGGCCGTGCCCAGCACCTGCAGGCCTGGACGGAGAGTTCACGGGTAAACAAGGATCCAGAAAGAGCTTTTCCCCCCAATCAGCCTTGGATTCATTACTCCAAATCGATTTTCCTGGCACACCGCTTTGGATTTTGGGTGGATTAAAAGATTGATCATAATGAACATGACAGATGTATAAGTTGTTTATTCAACTTTTCTGATTTATGAGACTAGCAGTGAACAAATCAATAAAACCCTCTGGTTGGAAGTTTCAAGAAAGGAAAAAAAGTTCACTGCATATTTTAGTCCATTACAGCTGTATAATGCAACTGTATTTAAATGGCAGTTTAATACACTATGGAGAAATAAAAGCAATGACACTGCACATACAAAAATTCATCACTACCTGGATGCTTCACAGGTTGTACCACTTGAGCATAAACCTGTAAAGAAAATGTTTTTTTATAAGCTTACCTTAATACATGAGACAAAAACTGTAAAAAAGTGGAATCGCAAATAAAATTCCATGGCTTCCTCCAAATGTACCATTTACAGTTTTTTTTTCTAAAACAACAGTTAAATCCCCATGTAAAAATGAATCCTGGAGGAGTCACTCATTATTCCAAGATGTGAAAACTTCTGGTCAGTCCATTTGTCCAAACTTAAAGATAAAAAACCAGCAAGATGAAAGGAATCAATTTAAAGTTCTGGCAATTGGCAGAAAAACTTAAGAGCGTGTCCTCTCATGATAAAAATGTGAAACCCAACTTCCACTTCCACGCAGAAAACTGTTATCCGTGTCCTTTACTCTCACTTTGAACTAGTCCTTGTTTCTTTGACTTTCTGTGTCTGCATCTGGAAAGAGCAGGGAGTGTGGAGAGGCTCCGTGGAGGCGTGCAGAGCTGCTGGACTGAACGTGGGAAATACAAAGCGTGATGTCATTTTTTTGGATCTTGTGAGGTGGGGCGTTAGAGCTGTGCGTAAAGGGCATTGTTTGTGCGTAATTGGAGATTGAACAGGGAATGAATGAGCTCAAGATCTGCGCAGCGCAATCCAGATATTGTTTGGATAAAGGATGCGCATTGACTCGCGGTTTCGTGACTAGTTTGGGTTTAATAACACGACAACACTCCGAAAACACAACAAATGTTGCTGCTGCTGTTGAATATAGGCAGATCCAGAAACCACTGAGACGCACAGATATATTAAAAGAAGAATTTCTACTTTTGAAGTTTTTCCAACAAGAAAAAGAAACACGAATGATCATTATTAATGCTAAAATACCACATACTGTAAATCAAGTAGAAATATTAGATAGGAATAGTTAACTGATATGTAGGTCAGAACTCTTAAGACTTATCTTCAGTGTTTGAAATCCAGTGATGACTCCCACAGGTGGGAATCAACAGCTCTTCACAGGCTCCCAACGTGACCTTGCATGAATAAAATGGTGAACGGCGCCACCTTATGGGCAAAACTTCAGTGGCCAACCAATAACGCTTATCTATTATTTAATGAACCTTCTCATATGACTGCTTAGTGGTGCGTTCGATCAAAGTCAACTTAACCATCTGATGAAAAAACGGTGTGTTTTTTTTATGTGATTAAAAAAAACGAGAGACGATGAAAACTTTCACTTCTTTTCTGCAGTTTACATCTTTAAGTACGATTGCATCAATTCAGTTTGTTTATCATAATGAATAATTAATTATTACATTCAATAGAGATTTCGATGGACTGTAGTTTCTCCTCCGAGAGAGAGAGAGAGGGGGAGAGAGAGAGAGGGAGGTGTGGTGAAAGAAGGCGTTACCCAGGGAAGGAGGTGTTGTGGATCTGTTACGGATCATTTGAGCTCCTGCGGTGACGTGACCCGACCACGAACAGTGACTTTGGATTTGTATTCTTATTTTCGTAGAGCTTTTATTTTTTAAAGCTATATTTGACCATCAGTGTTGACAGGATTCAGACTTTCACACCTGGTGCGCACTCTTCTCCCATTTCCATCGTCCCAGTGACGCTGCTCAGCTCAGCTCACCTGAGGAGGCTCAGTGTCACACATGGAGGCTGGCGGGGTGTTTCTCTAATCAGGCCTGTGGACGAGCTGAGCGTTGGGATGAAGGATCGACTGGCCGAGCTGACTGCTGTAAGTGTCCTCTCTTCCTTTACTCATAGACGCTGACTGATACATAACCCTGCCTTGGTTTCTGTCCACACAGAGCAGCACACAAGCAGAGGAGGATGTTGCAGTCACAGTGGACAGAGATGGCTTCATGGAGAGCTTCTTCAGGAGGGTGGGTATCACAGGGGGCTTCCAGGGTGTGTGGGATGAGCCAAGATACTGAGAGTGTGGTTGTCCCTCTGGTTTTCACTTAGGTTGAAGAAGTCAGAGGACTCATTGATAAGATCGCCTACCAAGTGGAGGAGGTGAGGAAGATCCACAGCATGATCCTGACTGCACCCAACCCTGATGACAGTAAGTGTGTCTTTGAGAGAAAGAAAGAAAACACTCACAGTGGGATGGAGGTAGAGGGGCATCTGGATTTCAGCGCTGTATTTCAGGGCTTCATTTGTCTTGAAAAGTGTTTGGCAAGGCTTTGGCTTTTGAGACTTAGAGAGAAAATGTAACAAATGTCTCACTTCCTTTGTTACATGTTCCTCCTCATTGTAAATGACTGACTGGCTGCCAGGAAACCTGTGAAAGGAAACCGCAATGTTTCCCCCCCTAAAAAATCTGACAAACCATTTTGGTCTGAGCATTGACTTGTTCTGTGAAGGAGTTTTAAACATACAGTGATTTAAACATGCACAGATGTTTGTAGGCATCTGTAAAACAACTATTAATGTTCCTCTCTCTTGAAAGTAACTGTTTCAACGTTAAACTATGAAATTATTATTTAAAGCTTTATGACTGGACCATATGTGGCCATTTTCAGTGTGTGAGCCGAGGACCCTGAAAAACTATAAATATAACATATACGAGTGTTTTGGGATCCATGACGTGGTACTGGTCAACAGGTAAAGACGCACAAAGGTTGTGCTGTGTGATCTTTGCAATATTCCCACTGGGCCGTTGCCAAGTTACGAGATGTAATCACGGTAAATCCAATATTTACAGGAGGGTCACAAGGGATTACCAGGATGCCATCTTTTTTTTCTCACAGTCAATGTGTTTCCTGTGTGTGTGTGTGTGTGTGTGTGTGAGAAGGAACAAAGGATCAACTGGATGCACTGACCAACGATATCAAAGGGAACGCCAACGTGGTGCGAACAAAATTAAAATGTGAGCGGAACCGTAACATAATGAAGCACTTTTCATATCGGCTTCTTGCTTTTGATGTTTTTATTTGTCCTCTGTATGAAGCACTTTGTAACAGCAGTTTTGAAAAGTGCTATATAAATAAAGTTACTATTATGATTATATTCATTAACAACACAATGCAAAATCTGATGTGGTCTGGTCTATTCTGTAATGTTATATCATAACTGTCTCCCTCTGAAGCCATGGAGCAGAGTATGCCCAAAGATGATGCAGCCAACAGATCCTCTGTTGACTTCAGGATCCAGAAAACACAGGTATGGAAACATATTGATGACTGACTACTTCCCAAATTTGATCTGTTTCACCCATTTATTAGTACATGAATATTCATGAAGAAAGAGATTATGTCTTGTGTGGATATATAATATATATATATATATATGTATATATTGGTAATACAAATCACCAAGTCAAATGAATTCGTCAAATGCCTCACCCTCTGTCCTAACCCTGTTTTCACTTGTTCCTAGCACACAGTGCTGTCCAGGAAGTTTGTGGAGGTCATGACCCAGTACAATGAGACGCAAGTGTCCTTTCGGGAAAGAAGCAAAGGACGGATCCAGAGACAGCTGGAGATAAGTGAGTGACAAATAACGGGACCACTGGCCCTTCATGAGGCCACAAATTATGGGCCATAATGAATTTCAGGCAACACTCTTTGATGCTTGAGCAGGAATATAAATGATATCAGTTGGTCGTGCTGACATGGCCTGGATGTGGTCGCACGTAAAAGATTTGTGAGTGCCAGACTTGTAAATCCAGAGATTAAAAGAGTGACAAATAAAAGCCTGAGGCGCTGATGGGACAGGATCCAGGAAACAGACAACACCGGTTTCCTCCCCTGCTTCTCTGGACACAAACCTGACTGTTGATAAACACACCAGCAGCAGGAAGGGAAATAATTTCTCTCAAATTTCTTCAAGATGTCAAGGTTTTTCATTTAAAAATGCTTAAGTCACAATTGATCACATCAAAACATCTGACTTTAAATGTCGTGTGAGTTTTGAAATGAGGAGTATTAGGACTGATCACAGAACAGAAATACAATGAAGCACTAGAAAATTATATAAAGATATAAACTACATCCTCTCAAGCCAGAATGTGGATTACAACAAGAACATGATGTGTAAAGTAGCAGTATTTGTGTCTGTAGAAGCATAAACTATATCTAGTCAAACAGATTTACCACCAACAACATACACTATAAATATATTAGTATAGGATTAGATTATTAGTTTTAACTTGTGTTAAGTGAATTTGACACAACTTTATATTTCTCACAATTTCTTTAATAGTTTGTTCGGTCATCTTGGTGCTAAACGATGGTGACAAACAAATGCAAAAACATTGTGTATCAGGTGCATTGTATTATGTGTGTATGAGTAACATGAGACAATAGTGAAAGGCAAAAAATAGGACTCCCACAGTCCCTGCGGCCAGCATTAATGAGAGGCTCTAGTTCTCCACTGCAGGTAGAAGAGCCCGATACTTCACTGTGTTTACGTTGCCCGGGCAACGGGCAAAGGGCTCAGCGGCCTGTGTAACAGTACTTCACCTGTCTTTGACACAGCCACACCAACCGCGGCCCGTGCTGTCGCAGACTTACAACTTTCATTCACAGTGGTCAGAGGCGATACCTGTCGGCCTTGATGTCTGCCGGCAAGCTGTAACAGTGCTGTGCTTTATTGTGTCCCAATATCCGTCTCTCTGGGGAGTAGCTATAGCGAAAGGTGTGTGACATACAGCGAGCACCTGTACACAGCTCAGTCTCTCCAGGGAGGGTGTTGTACAACAGGAGGCATGGCTTCAGGAAAAGAAAGCTTTCTGTTTATAGCTTTTTAGCAGCTGTTTCTTTACGAGGGGTGTGGGGTTGCTTTGTTCCTCATAACCTCATAGTCACAAGTGCATTCCCCTTAACCATAAATAATCAGAACCAGCAGGGGCTGACTACAATTAGACATCACATTATTTAAATTAATAGTCATCTAATAAATGTGGAAATGAGATTTAGATTGCGGACATTGTTTTCTTAGCATGTATTAAAAATCTTGCAGTGACTCACTTCAACCTAATTCTTAGTGTACCTTACTTTTACATGGCAGAATGTATGACTGGGCCATATAGCAGAAAATCATATCAAGATATGAATAATTGTCAGGATAAATGTCACTTTATTATTTCTTTTTAGACTGGTTTTCGCTCCTGAGTGAAGGTTGTGCATGGTTTAATCTCTTCTTTATGAGCAGAGAATGTTAAACACTTGGTAAACAGCAAAACATGTTTTAAATCTGAAATAGATCAGTTGTGCTTTATATCCTCTCACTGTGCTGCACAATGTATAAGCATTATATCGATATAGGACTTTTGTTATATTGCTATTGATGGTCATTGATTATCATTTTACATTTGGAATAAAATCCCAATGTGTTGAACTCAGCCCTGTGTTTGTAGCCATGTCCTGCGGGTGGATCACAAATGACATTTTAATTTGTTTAATAAATTAGTGGAGCTACAATGAGGCCTCTTCTTCTCCTCAAACAGCAAACTTAATACACAGCAGCTTGCCAACACTGCCAGACAAATGAATCACCCTGGGATTAAACACACATCAGGATGTGCCGTACCACATATTTGTTGTTTACATTAGTGCTAACACTCCCCACACTGGGAGATTTGTCTATTAAATGCCAGAGTCATGTTTTTTTAATTGTTTTTCAAGTGTGCTACGTGAATGATGAGCACAAGATCACAAGTCTCTAATTAAAACAGGGTGTGTTTGATAAATAATCTTTTAATCTTACACAGACCTCAGTCCACTCTCCCTGCCGTCTACAATGGCTGCAGCCTATTCTCTATAGACGCTTTACTTGAGCCCTGTGAATTATTCTCTGTTGGCCTACATCATGTCTCTGAGCCAGGGGGGACGACAGCCTCTTCATTTTTAAATGTGGCCTGTCTGCAGTGTCTTTTGATGTGAGATTATTATTTCTTTTATCATTAGGAACCAGATTATTACACAGCCCTGATACACTCCATGGTTGAGGTTTTAATGTTCTTCTTAGCAGAATATTAAAAAGAGAGAAAGACCAACATCTACAGTTGTATGACGAGACACAATTGCATTTGCATGTCTTCCACTGCATCCATGACCACATCCCATTGTAAAATATTTATATTTTATATTGCACATTGTTAGCAGAGTGTAGTGTGTACCCTGGCACTTCTTTTCTATACAAAGCAAAAAATTGGAGAGTAACTATAAAGCACTGCAGTAAATAGGGAGAAATTCTGGTAGAGTTTTTTTTGTCAAACAATAGTAATAAAATGAATGATGGATGAATTTCTTTTTGCTGCTTCAGTTTTAGGTCCTGTTTCAGTCCTGGCTCACCAACATATTGTTATTATTTATAGGGAAACTTAATCAGACAAGACAGACAGACCCATTGGTATTGTTATTAGTAACTTAGAAAGTATACAAAAGCACACACATCCAAACTTGATAAACACTAGTTGTTGGACAGGAGTGACGGAAACCAGAAGATGGGAAATGTCCCACAAACAAATTTATTTTACCTACCAGGTAGGTACTGTTTCGGGCACGTTTGGAAGAAGGGCTTGTACCCAAAATGTTTTCTACCCAGGAGGTAGAGTAAAAAAGTTGGAGCATCAACTGGTGTGCAGACATTTCTTATCTTCTGATTGTTATTAATGCTTGTACTTTTTTTCCATTGATGAAAAATAACATGATTTTATTTTATATTTTCCTCCATGTTTAACATTAACATTTGATTTTAAGTATAATATTTTAAGTACTCATAGTTGGCTGTGATCAATTTAAAAATGTGCTTTTGCAAAGGAAAGAGGAATTAATCAAATAATGATTTCTTATTTTATTGTTTAGCTGGAAGAGTGACCACTAATGAGGAGCTGGAGAACATGTTAGAAAGTGGAAATCCATCCATCTTTACATCTGATGTAAGTTCTATTGCAGAAATAATGGCTGTTACTGCCATCTAGTGGTGGTGAAGAATCAAATTATCTGGGGTGGGGTAGTGAGATTCAACACCTTTTTCATTCCTCCACACATGTATAACAGTTTACTTTTGGATAAATTATTTGACTTTGTTTCTCTCTTCCTCAGATCATTTCTGATTCCCAGATCACGCGTCAGGCCGTGAACGAGATAGAGTCTCGACACCAAGACATCATTCGTCTGGAGTCGAGCATCAGAGAGCTCCATGCCATGTTCATGGACATGGCAATGCTGGTAGAAACTCAGGTAACAGGAGTCCCTGGAAAATGTCCAGAAAATTGGGAGTGGACAATAAAGTTTGTCTCTCACATATGAAGAAAGCAGCAGGAGATTGTCCGTGTTAGAAACCTTCATTACCACAGGAAAATGTCTGGAACATTGTCTTGGTACCACCAGTACCAACACAAAACCCAATAAATTTGGTAGACACAAAATACAAAAACTTTCTGATCATCTCATTTACAGGGGGAAATGGTTGACAACATTGAGAAGAACGTCTCCAACGCAGCCGAATACATTCTCCGTGCAAAGGAAGAGACCAAAAAAGCAGTGCGATACCAGAAAAAATCCCGGAGGGTATGTGGTCCTTCTAAATTACGTCTTGAATAAAAATATCTGTAAATCTGTGCTATACAAGATGTCCAAGTCATGTATGAACACTTTGTAGCCTTTTTCATGGTACCTTCGTTTTTAGTTGAAGGTCAAATAACCACCTCTTCTTCAATTGACAGAAATGCATCATCCTTGCCTTTGCTCTGTTGATCCTGCTTGCTGTCATTGCACTAATTGTTGGCCTGTCTGTTGGACTAACCAAACGTCCTGTATGAGTCCTGTGTGAGGTAACGACACTGCCACTTGCACAACTTCCATTCCTCAAACCTAGCATTCATCTGTCCATCCATACCCATGAATCAATTCATGTCTCTTAGCCGTTGACTGATATAAAGGCTTTTTAAATACCTTTTTTGACTCATCTTTTCTTCTCCTTTTGACAGAAACGTCTCTGCCTTGCCACGTGTGTGGCTGGAGGTTTCCTATTTTTACTCATCATAATAGTCGGAGTCTTTGAGTGATGGATTTCATGGTTTGCAGCCTGTCAGCACTGTGGGCACTCCTGTAGTGAAGGGGCAGGGAGCAGTTCTACACAGGTAGAATACAGCGTCCTGCACATATCCCTTTGCCTTAGCTGTTTTATAATGAACACTGACAGCACATCACATCCATACACTGGTGTACATTCTCTGTTGCTGCCAATTTTCACATTGTGTACCACCTTCAGACATTTCTTTATCTAATGACTGTAAAGGTATAGTTTTACATTTTTACACTCCTTGCAGAGAGAGGTAGATGAGACTAGTGGTTTCATTCTCATGTCTATATGAAGCTACACCACCAGGAGCCTCATACCTTAGCTTCACAGACTGGAAACAGAAAGCAGCTAGCCTTACTCTGTCCAAAATGGGGCCCGGCCAATATATAGGTCAGCTGACAAAAATCAGTCGATATGAGCCTTTCACTGACAAATTGATCAACATTTATATTCGCTGATATGAAAGGTTATTTATACAGATAAAACAACAATGCTGAAAAGATGTGCACTTATATAGAATACATTTTATGTATTTTTATTTCAATTTGTGTTTTTTTGTGATAAAGTTTATGGTTAAACCATAAAATATCATGGCTCAGTTACATTTCTTTGTCATAAGAATTGAAATCTTCGACATCAGTCCACGAAAATTCATACTGGCCAGGTGTAGTCCAAAGGTTACAGAACACTTTACATATAAAGGTTTTATGGGGGATTATTATGTGCCACACTATTTCTTGTGTATTTCAGATGTAGTGACTTCCTGGACTCTTCCTGTTTACTGGTTGGCCAGGCAACAAGTAGCAGCCCCAGGAAGTCACTGGTGTCAGTACATCCATACAGCCCTCCTAAAAAATACAATGAGTCACGTAAAAAACATCCAAGATATATCACGTTAGAGGTGCCTTTTGGGTAATTTTGTTACCTGTGGGCAGAGCCAGGCTGTTTCATTAATGCTAAGCTGTTGACTGCAGCTTCATATTTAGCGTATAGACATTGGAGTGGTATCAGTTTTCTTATCTTATTTTTGAAGAGAAAAATATGTGTGTCTTTACTATAGCTTAGAGTACCATACTGTATAATCCTTATGTTCTCCTGTTCTATTGTATATTTACTGTTTTCATGGGAACTAAATGTAAAGCTACTACAGCAAGGAATCTCGCTATATTAATCAAATGGAAGTCATTAATTGATTGAATAGCTCTTACAAAGTGCCTTCTTGACATTTAATATGGAACTTTAACTTATTGAATTGTACTTATCATGATCAATGTGTGTGATGACTGAAATACTAGTTGGGAAAAGGTCATGCTGTAAAATAGGACTTCAAAATTTCAAGAGCACACATTTTCATTTCAATACATTTGATTCTTTTCTCATGTTTTTAGGTTTTATCTTGTATTTTATACATAACAATTCAGTCAGGTGAATAAAAAGAAAGAGTAAAAAGGTCCCTGCAGATTGCATGTTGGTTTGTTTACTTTCATACTGCCATACCAAGGTTGATAACGGTGAACAAGATAATTTAAATTGCAAACCTCTGAATCAAGGTTATTTTCTCTGTTCTTTAACAATCCAAATGTTTGGAGATTCTAGTTATATAGAGGGGAGCAGAAAGAAACTGAGGGTGCCGTTTACTTCAGGACTAATTAGCACTTTGCACGAAGCGCTTGACTTCCGTGTAATCAACCAAACAAGATTAGTGAAGAAAGTGGAAGCAGGTCCCTGGAGGGCAGGCTCTTTCCTCTCTATGAATCAGATCAAAAGAAAACTTCAGAGGTGCACTTAAGACAGAAATGCCAGTGAATGTCCTCAAAATCTGTGTGACGATGTTTCCAGGTCACTGATCGAGACATCCTAGATGTCACGTCAAGTAACTTTATGAACTGTGATTAAACTTGGACACAGCGGTTTATTTGGATGAGTAATTTTTTGGCCATGTTGAAGTTAAACAAGAACAAAAGTGTGAAAGGGTTGTGTATTCTTATTTACAATATTTTTGTTTTTAATAATATAGAATTCCTCTGTTCAACATGTTCTGTGTTGTCTATGATACGAATAGTGACAGTAAGCAGACTATTTAAATTTGAGAATGAAGAAAATGAGCACTTTCTGAGAACAGTTTATTAAGCAGAAAATGGAGATAAAAGAGATATTGAAATGTTCCATGTGTCAAATATGTTTTTTTGAAGAGTAAATCTGCTGCAGTACAAGCAAACCACCACAATAATATAGTTTTGGTCACTAACCTTCCCCTACTGTGCTGTAATAATAAAGGAAAATATAAATAATGCTGTTGTGACTTGATGTACCCACAGGTTCACCCAGACACCGCTGAAACTAACTAGTTAAAGTTGTCCTGGGAAGTAAATCAACCTTATGCTTAAATACAACAAATACAAATACAACATACATTCATTATCTAGATGCACTGTGTACATCCCATAAACTACATATCAAGTATATTCATTCTGTTACATCCTCGAGGTCTGACAAACGCATTATTCTACTCTCAATTGCTTTTTAAATCATTTTTTTCTGTTTTATTTTAAGGAACACAAAATGCCAACTAATACACACACTCAAAACATATTAAATATATAAATAATCTGAACCCTCAATTGTTTTCACCTTGCTTTACTTGCTAACACTGCTCCCCCCTTTACCTGCACCTGGGGCCGAGGCGCTGCTTGTGAACAGGCAAGGCGAGCAACTGCCTGGGGCCCCAGGCCATGAGGGGCCCCGAGGGCTGACAAACTTTACTCCACAGCAGTGTCTCATAATGTAGCCAGTGACTAGGAAAATAAAGAGGAGTTATCCAGCTGGAAGTGAAAAAGAAAGAGAAAATGAGATGATGAGGAAAAAAGAAAGCAAACATTTTGAGTTTACCTTAACATGCTTCTATAATAATACAGTATGATAATCATAAACTATATCACTTTTTAAAATCTCTCCTCAGGATCATCAAGTTCCTGTCAGCAGCAAAAGAGATGGAAGATAAAGTTTTCCCTCCAAATGTTCATAGTGAAAACTGCAAGTTCAATATCCCACTTTATAATTTGTATTATATATGTTTACATTGTGCCAACTTATGTCTGGTAATGTTTTTATTGTTCTTTATATTCATATTTTGAAAACATATTAGGGTTTCTTTTCTTTAAAAGATTTACTGAGTAAAAACTCTGGAATACATTTGATTTAATTCTTTTTCACGCTTCCTATCCTTCGTTGGTGTAATGTTGAAGAGCGCTGTTCGAGGGGCCCCCTGGGAATTTCTGCTTGGGGCCCCAATAGACTCGAGACTCGCCACCGCCTGGGGGGCAGTGTGAAGCCGCAGGTAGGGACTACTTTACGCGCGCATGTGGACGAGACGTAAATAGGGAAGTACACTACAAGAGGTCAGAGGTCACAGCTGAACCTCCGGGGTGAATCTCCTGACCTCGTTTAAAAGGAGCATCCGCTCGACAGGAGGCCTGCTGCTGCACGAGATGCTGTCATGGCTGCTCAGGAACAGGGCAGTACTCATGCTAGCTTAGCATCAGTCACAGCTGACATGTGATGTGCGCTCTGTTACGTGACCCTAGTTAACATTCAGCTAGTTAGCTGTTAGCTCACACCTGTTAGCTCAGTCTCTGACCCTTCACAGCAGGAGAATGGATGAAGCTCCAGTGGGACACTGGTCAGACCACAGCACATGTCTGCTTCACAGGTCAGTGCACCACAGACCCCTGGTGACTCAAACTGACATGAGCACAGCGAGTGTCCGCTGTGCCAACGCTAGTTTCATACTCTACATCCACAATACTATGCTTTCATTTCTGCTTTCTGTAGCAGTGTAAACACAGGAGCCTGACGTTCCTGTCTGCAAGTACATTAACCTAAACTTTAGTTATAGAAGCCTTGTTATTCACCCATCCCAGAGATGAGACATAGAGAAATACATAGTACTTATATTTTATGTGAGTTTGACCCTCAGTCATTCATGAAAACCCTTGTTTTAAAAGACAAACTGGCCAAAGTCTTCAGTCTCCAACGGTAGTGTATGTCATAAATCCCACCTCCTCCACGTTAGTCGATGGGACATGGACCAAACTACAAATTAGATTTTTGTTCAAGTGCTAATTTTCTGATAAGTTAGGTTTGAATTCGTTATTTGAAGACATGAAAACAGAGTGAAAGGTCATGATGGACAGCTGGGACTGATTTGTGATTGTTTGAGTGTGTATATCGACGGGACCTCGCTACTGCGGCTCCATCCTTCAATCACTAGTCCACATACTCTTGGCTCCACACGTGCAAGTTGGCATCGTTTGCATCCAGGATGTTTTAGCTTCATTTCTGGATAGTGGGAGGAAGTGAGGCTATGTCTCACTGCATGGACCCAGTTTGTCTTTACTGAATCCCAAATTTAGAGCCCCCGTGAACAGTTGTGTGAACATCTTGTGTTTGCACAAATATAACCCTGTAGGCCATCATACACTAAAAACTGCTCGTGATTCTTACATAATGAACACAGGACTGTTTGGGATGACTGAACAGTTACCAAAGATTTCTCTGACCAATGAGAGGAAAACAGAGGACCTCTTACTGCAGTCTCTGAATGTGATGCAAGAGGCATCACTTGATTTGGTCTGTGTAGAAATTACTCTCATCACATTTGCAGGCTGTAGAAGGGTTTTCCTGTCACTGAGTATGTGCACTATATCAGATGTGTCCCTACCCTGCAGAGAATAGTAAAGTGCTCGGCCTAACTGGAATTGGATGTGACGGGGAAGAAAAGCAAATCGTCTCATCTGCAGAGGTATCGGAGAAGGCTGGCGTGGATGACCCAGAGGAAACTGTAAGTGATGACTGGACCACTGTGTGTGGTAATTGCAGCTTCATTTTTGCTGGAGCAAGGCTTATCCTGCATCCCAGGTGGGTGGTAGTAAAGTATTAAACAAATAAAGTGGATTTTTTTGAGAGTATTATTAGTCTGTAGTCAGATTAAACCCTACAGCCACAGCAAATCATCATTTTAAGTTCAATTAAAGCTTGAATTCTAAGCTCTAGACAATCCTAATGTGTATTTTACATTTAAACACCATGTATTTGAAAAACTACAGTAATACTATTTACATGAATGTGATGCTATAATCTTTTAAATTTAATGAATAAACACAAAAATATCAAAAACTACACATATTCTTCAAAGACAGTGAATTTCTTCCATCTTGCTCTTTTTTTCTTATCACTTAAATGTAAGTGTAGGTGATTTCATTGTTTTTTGTATTTCCTGTGGCAGCTGTGGCATGTTGTCGCTCTGTGTGTACTGACAATAATCCTACATCCATTATTATGTAACTGCTGAATACAGATATTTATAATCTGATCATGCTGGAGCTATGACATCATCTGGAGCCGCTGACCATGACACGCGCTTGGGGAAGCATGCAAACTGTTCTGTCATGGTAAGCTACTGCTTGCAACAAAACAGGATATGTATCACCGAGATGTGTCATGACGTGATGCGTGGCTTAACTTCATGTATTCTCCTGTGCTAGGGGGCGATGGGTTGTCAGACTTGCAAGGTGGAGAAACTCCTGAAACAATCTCAGAGGGAAGCTGTGTTGAGCCAGAGACAAAGGTTAACCACCTTGAAGGAGAACAGCCGGATGACTGGCACTGATAAGGTGAGCGTGTGTTGTTATCCTGTGATCTGGTTGTTAAGCTTTCAATGGACAAAGCTTAGATTCGGCCGGACGTGGACGATGGCAGGGTCAGCACTAGACGCCTGCAGCCATAATCTGACCTCACCCTGCACTCCTCGCCGAGTCTCCTCACTGTCACCAAAACTCAACATTAATGAGCGCAACCATATGTGGCACATATATCTTATGCTGATCTAGATTGTAAACAAACAAAATATTTTCAGACTTTTATCTTCTCTAAATGCTATTTGCTAAATCATAAAGAGATTACATAACAAGCCATTATGTAATATGCATTTTGCTTAATACATTTTAAAATATACAGTTTCTACAAATTGTTTGGCAGCTTTGCTGTACGTTTGGCATTAGTCTATAACAGTTGATAATGACATAACATGTATTTTTTATATTTTCAGGAAAATCTTATTTTTAGATAATCTTGTGAGTTAGAAGTAACTTTTTAAGAAGGTTAGAAGAGTGTCAGGGATTCACAGAAACTGAGCATAATACACCACAAGGACAGAGAAGTAGCTGCACAGTAAGTCAAGTGGCTGTGGTGTTAACTGTTGCTGGTACAATCTTTTGTATTTAGGATCAATTTTGGAGAACAACTTTTTTTTTTCTTGCTCTGTATTTAATGCGAAAGTAGTTGATATAAAATAAAAGCAATTTCCCAACAATGTTAAATAAAGCTGGGTTAGTAAATGAGTATCTGACATCAGTGTCCACGTGCAGATTAACATTCAGGCTGTAACATTATTACAGTGTTCTTAGTTTTTGACTGTAAAAACTTGCTTTGGCTTTAATTGCAGTGAAGTGTGTAAACTGCAGTGGTCTCTATATTTATTTCCTTTGGGTCTGGGCAGGTATTTGAATTTCCCTCTGATCTATGTGAGATGTTACGATACTCTTTTTACCTTCCCGATACAAATATCTTGAGTATTGATCCAATACCAGTGCATGTAATAAAAATCAACTAATATTACATATTTTAACAGCTGTATGCTACTAACCCTGTATGGAAGGGATGATTGCTGCCATTGTTGTTTGGCCTTGCTCAGGTTTAACCATTTGAAAACAAATGAAAGAGATAAATGAATTGAAAAATAACATAAATAAATGAATCTGGGAATACACAACATTTGCAACCTTTAATGTCTTGCATACAGTAACCATCTGTGTCTACTTATTGGACTTTGCAGAGTGAAATGTTGACAAATAGCTTTTTGACAAAATGATTTTAGCTAGCTCAGGCTAACTATACACTACTTGAAACCACTTTTTCTTCACTGCTCTTCGCAGTGCTTGTCAGTGGCATTACAGTGCAACTGCTGTTTATGAGCAGTGAAGAAGTGATCTGCGGGAAAATTCTATTCTCTCTATTTTAAAGACGTGGTTTTGAATAATCCTGTGTATCGCTGATGTCCAATTCAACATTTTTGCTCATATGGGAGACATTTCTGATGTTGGCATCATTATTGAAACAGGAAGTAGAATTGTCTATAGCTGAGTTGTGTTATGTAGCTGACATAGGAAGAATTTCCTCTGGTGTTGATGAAATTGAATGATTTGTATTGTTGCATTTTCCAGCCAGAACATTTCTGAAGGCTACTTATGAAAGTCACTACCCATGATATACACCATCATATCACACAGCTCTAATTTTTGTAGACTCATCTTACTCTTGAATGCTTGTTATGAAAGCTGTGCCGAAGTCCTCAGACAGGACTGAGAGTGGGCAGGTGTGGACAGCATCAGAGTAGTTCACTCTGTATGCAAACAGCAGGAGGCAGGACAGGACCTGCTGTACAAGGAACCTCAATAAGTGAGTTCCTCTGGTCTGTAGCTCTATAGGTTAGTATTTATGCCCTGCTTTGGAGTGGGAAAGAGGAAGGATGTGATGAACACAGCAGGACGTTTTATATTGATATCAAATGCATATCAGTCAATGATTAAGACTAGATATTATTGATAGTTGATGGTGATACTATTCTGATATATTTTGATCTTAATATATTATTATTTGTGAGTGTGTGAATCTCATGTGACTGGATCAGCATTTATCTCCAAAATATCCATGTTGCTCTTCTTTATACATATATTTTTTACTGCTTTTAAAGCTTTTTTAAGCTGCCATAGCTCATGATGATGCTGCTGTTGTTGCACCTCACACAGCATTTTGTTAATCTGCAGAACCTTCACAAAAGGGAATGTCAAAACAGCTGTTCACACCTCCAAACGTGTCTCAGTCAGCTGAGTTAAGGCAGGCCCGGAGCTCCTGTTCTGCCTCCTGACATCCGTTGACAGCTGTCTGAACAGGTTTGGTGCCCTGTAACATAACAAGGTAGGCAGCCATCCTCTGAATCACTATGTGAAAAAATAAAATAAGCTAATATGAGACCAACAGCAGCACCGGTTAGTGTTTGCTTCTTACATAGCTCTGCCCTGCTGAGGAATCAGAAGATACCTTGATCCCACAGATTATGATTTTATTAGAATGATTCATCTAATCAGTGTCATAGAAAAAGAATCATGCTACATGATACCACATTCACACTGGACATATCCTGCTGAATAACAAACAAGGTTTGTTTTTTTAAACAGAGAAAGATAATTATATATAAAAATATGTATTAACAAATACATGTGAAAATTATATATTTTTTAATTAGTCTACGCATTTGTGCATTTTTCCACATTTATATAGTGCTTGTTGTTGTTTTAATCCTGCTTATCTATGGATGTAGTTAAGTGAGTGATTGCTCCAGAGGAGATCAAATGTACAGTGCAGTTGTCTGTTGCAGCTGATGTTATTGTGCTAACATCAGGTGTGCTTTACACTCATTGCTCCCAGTCAGCACCTCCCCTCAGTGTTTAAACAGCAAGTAGTGGACATAGGCGGGAACATTTGACATCAATCGCATGTGAAGTCGCAATGCCTTGAGTGTTAAACAGCCACTGTGCAATATATGCTCTCAATTGGAATTGCAGAGAGGGTCCTGCTGGAGGGGGAGGGACGGATCTTAACAGGGGTAAGGAGCTACTGTGGTTGCTAGGCATCCACACTGAGGAAAGCATGTCTGTTTTGGGCCCTGATCCTCCTCTCTCCTCTACCCAAACAGAGTGCAGCACCACTGTGAGCCACAGAGGGCAGCCACACTGCACACGCTCTGCTGCTCTCCTCCATCCCTCCATAGTGGAAAAAATAACCAAGGATGGCCCAAATAATCCTCTTTAATACCCTTCTGCACTTGATTTCCTGATCTGTGATTGGATGCTAATGGTGTTGCTGCAGTTTGTGATAGCTGATTGGTCTAGCCCACCATTCAGTGAGTGAGGCTTTGTCAAGGCAAGCCTCCTGGGGGAGCCTGTGTGGCATAATGACCTGTGACGAGGTGAAGCAGAGTCGCTGCAAAAATAAAAAAGCTGAGAAGCACTGCAACAAAACTGGGAGCAAAGACCAAGGGGTATGCCACCTCACATGACCTTGCCATCTTCAATCATGGCTGCTGATCAGTGGTGGTGAGGTGGACAGGCAGGAACGATGGAGACGTTGCTGGGAGAGTTTATTGACGGGATTGTCTGTGACTGCTGAGAAAGACCAATTTTGATTAACGGAGACGAAAGACATCCTGGAGAGGGAGCACTGCTCAGTGCTGCTGCGCATTATACCGCCTCTGCACCCCTGCATATCTGTGTCTGTGTGACTAAGCGTGTGTGTGTGTGTGTGTCTGTGAGAAAGTGAGAGAGAGAGGGAAAGAGAGAAAGGGGGCGTGTTGATGTGTGTGCTCTGCTGCACAGCCACTGTAGTGTGAGCTGAATGATGCTCGCTGGCTGTGTCTCTCTCTCTCTCTTTCTCTCTCCCTCCCTCCCTCTCTCCCTCTCTCTCTCTCTCTCTCTCCCTATTTCCTTGCGCTGCCTGGCTGTGCCTCTTTCCGCCGAGCACTGATGAACCATTTTATGCTACAGAGCTGCCATAGCCATCGTCCCGGTCACGCTGTTGGCTCCTTTTCTGTCCTGCCAACACAGTAGGAAAACACCTGCCATTGCATCAGTCCTTTAACTGCTGCTGCTAAGGTACTGTACCGTCCTCCGCCTGCTGTCAAGCCGTGTTTTTCTGAGCCAGGGATTGTTGTACTGGCTCTGCTGCAGGATCCCTGTGCTGCTGATGCTGCTGCTGCTTTAGGGATAAGGATGATCATAACATGTCTTGGTGCCTTCAGCTGTTAGCGTCTTAGATAACTGAAATTTATATCTTCTGTATTTGACACACTCATTGCCCGTTTACCCTTCCATGCATTTCTCATGAGATAGATCAGTCTGTTTTAAGTTGCTCTGCACACGAGTGCAGGTTTGACAGGACTATGAGGAGCCAGAGGACATTGCACATCATTTGCATGCAGCAAGGATTCACTGCTTTATTTTTTTTGCATTGATTCAGTTTCTTTTCCAAACTGCAAAAATGCTGCAGGATATTAAAGGAATACTTGATTCTGCAAAGCAGGAGTGGTGTGTATGTTGTCTGTGTGTGATATGATATGATAATCGGGGTTAACATCGGTTTCAGTTGTCACTATCATGCCTGTCAGAAGGGGCTGTCTACATGCATATGAGATGTGTTTGTTTAAAGTAAAGAAAATCACAAGGATTACAGGAGTTAAGTTAATTGATTTGTGATATGTAGCCTGCCATGATGTTGATTAATGTGCTTGCGTGAAATTTATCGAAAATTTGTGCAGAATATCAATACCAAACTTGTGACGACAAGAGCTGACACTGTGTGGTTGGTGTTTTTTTTCACAATCCAATAGGTGTTGTGTAAACATTATGAATTACTGGGGTGTAGGAGGGTTAATAGGTGTGTAAAGGAGATAAGTGTTTCTGTTGGTCGTGTCATTAGACTCAAGAGTTTGCAGTGAGACAAGATCCTATAGGTGGCAGTCATGAGAGCAGAGGGCAGTAGTGGGTTCGGACAGTGAATG